TTTGATTTAGAAAATGTATTCAATAAAAGAATCACTATGTATATTGCCGGTTGTTCTTGTGCAGACCATTTAGGATAAAAAGGAAAATGTTCTAATTCAGTTTTGACTTGTAACTAATTTATCTTCAGAGTGATATAATTTGTATTTACTTTGTTTTGATCTGTACTTCTTCTGTTTGCAGCATCCCCTCAACTCTGGAACAATTTACCTCAATGTATAAAACAAGCAGATTCAACAGACAAATTCAAATCCATGTTAAAAACCTACTTTTTTGTTAAATAGCCTTTTTCATTTGCATATGCAGCCCCCTCGATTGTCCACTATCTATTATGTATAACTTAATATTTGGCTGTAATTCCTTCTCTTTCTATTTTTCTTAAGCGCTTAGAGACATATTTTGTGATAAGCGCTATACACATGTTGTTAATTATTATTATTATTATTATAAAATATTCATAAAACAAATTAAACTGGGTTTTTTTCAGGGACATCCTGTACAATGCAGGCCCTACATTTATAGATGGAAAGAAGAGACACGGGGGTAACTATGTAAATGGACAGTGAAGACTTGTTGCATTACAAGACGAGGATAGGAGTGAGAAGGGGGAAATAAAGAAAAAGAAAATAAGTAGGGGAAAATATTGGGAGAGATATATGGCTAAGCAAAGACAAGACAATTTTTAATTGTTACCCAGTTCAAAACAAATCAAAACTTGATATTTCAGGAAATTGTCAACCAATTTTCCTTTTAAGATGCTACGATCAAGTATATATAAAATTTGGAGCCTTTCAATATGTGTCGAATTGAAGCGTATGTAATAGTTTGTGATGGTGGTAGATATATATATATATCCGGTTAAATCTTAAATAGAAGTAGTGTTAGTGATTAGTGATTAATCTTAAATAGAAGTAGTGAATGATTAGTGGATGTTACTTGTTAGATTAGATGGGTACCAAATCGTGCAATATGTAATCCTATCATAGCTTTTTTTTAATTATCTAAAATGATTACAATACTTAAATTATTTACGTTAATGTAACTCGATTTAACTGAGTAAAAATGTATTCAGCAAAATAAGTAAATTCTACTTAAGATGCCGTAGGTAATATTTACTTAATAAAAATAAGGCAATTCTTTTCCTCAATTTTATTGAGTTATTTCGACTATTATTTTGTTACAGTGTAGAGCACTAGAGCGCTTTCACAAATACGACGGAAAGATATGGATGCATTATTTTGATAAACCTCCACAAGACAAATGTGACGGAACAGTGACCTTAGCTTAACTCCCCTCGTCTCCCCACACCAAAAGGAGATCCATGCCCATGTACACAGTATTGTACTGGTGATTTGTGCATGTCTCGTTTCACATTTGACGTAATATTCTGGTAATTGGCTCCTGAAAGGTGAATCAGGGTTTTCCTTGTCATTATGGAGATACTCGACAACTGCTCTCTTACCAATGGAACATTCGTAACCTCTGACAATTTGTCGGACTATAATACTCAAAACATACACGAACCAAAAAATCATTGTGACATTCGTCCTTTTATTGCTGGTGTCTGCTTTGACTGTCTTTACAAAATGCGCTTATCCTAGCAGCATTCTACGTTGAGAAGAAACTACGGACTTACCCAAATTCCTTTATCTTGAACATAACCATTGCAGACTTCGTCGTTGGCCTAGTCTGTATGCCTCTCCGTGCGACTGTCAATCTCTATGATGGTTGGAACTTTGGTCAGGTGCTTGGTATCTTGTTTATAGGATTTCAGAACTATATTATTAGTGTATCTGTGTGCGGTGTAGTCGTCATTTGCATTGATCGTTACATAGCCACGTTCTATCCTATCAAACATTTCCAAAGGAAAAGTATCCGCAAGGCTACCATTGTGAACATCTTTACGTGGATCCTATCCTTTGGAACATGGATCTTGATAACTTGTGTCTGGGATTTCATGGACCCAAGTGGCGAACTATCAGATTCGGGCTTGCCAAGAACGAATTATTCTCGAATCAAAACGGCAGGCGCATTCGTATTCATCCTGATATTTGCTTTAACATTTCTCCTCATTACTGGGCATTACCTACGAATTTATTTTCGCGTGAAGGCTGTCTACGGAAGGCGTTTGGCCTCCAATTTGAAGGAAGAGCAAGAGAAAAACAGAAACCAACGACCGAAATATCAACAATGGAATTGAATTGAATTGAATTCATTTATTCACCACCATTGAAACATTGAAACAAAAGATATATATAAATGTACAATGACAATGTCAATATAACATAAATACATGACATGAATTATACAAATACAAGTCATGTTCTACAGCGATATACATGTACATTATACAAATATTACAAAATAGTTATAAGTAATTTTAGGGTCAAGTAAAACAATAAATGACTATTTACAATGAGTTTGTGATCGATGTTAAAGTAGAGTAAAACAATAGCACATGTGCTAGTCGAGTCTGACTCTCGTTATCTAAAACCTGAAATAAAGTTCATTGAAAAATACACAATGTGTTTCTAAATCCTATAAATATGATTTGGGTATAATATTACAATAAAAACAAACCGAGACTGGTTGCTAGATACATCTACGGTTTGTAATTACAAGGTTATAATTCGTGGCTTTCACCCAAGAGTAATTTTGTAAGTTTTTTACGAAAATAGGTTCTTGATCTCTCAATTCTTAGATCAGTAGGAAGCATATTCCAAAAATTACTTCCAACAAACGAAACAGAAAACTTTCCTTGGTCTGTTTTGAATAAAGGAAGACGTAGTTGTCGACCCGTTTTTTGTTTTGTGGAATATTCATGTTGTATCATACTGCAATAATGTTTTAAGGAATGAGGTAGTCGTTCATTTATCAAATCAAACACATAAGTACAAATAGATAATTTATGCTATTTAAAAACATTCAACAATTTGAGGTCATGAAACAGTGCATTAGTATGAGAACGATGTGGCTTAAAAGTTATAACGCGCACAGCCATCTTTTGAGTATAGAATATACAATTCGAGTGTGATTTATAAGTACTACCCCAAACCTTGATGCCATATGTAATATGTGGCTGTATCAGAGCTTTATACAACAGTCCCGCTTCTTGTGTTTACAGTCTTTCCTCCTAGAAATCCAAGGCTTATCATAATTTTTTGCTGGTAAAGGTCACAGATTTTAATGGATATCCTGGCAAAATGTATACACCAAATCGCACGAATTAAGTTTGAAAGTTCGATTTTTCTTCAGCGTCTCAGGGGGGCACATCCCCCTCAGTCTCCCCTCTGTCAGCACCGCCAAATATTTTCTCACAAATTTGACCCCCCCCCCCTTGAACCCCTCGCCACCGGATAGATGATGCTGGATCCGCCCCTGATAACACCTGAATGCCTCTAACAAGTAGGTGTACATAGACCTCGTTTTGTTTATATTATAAAGATCAATACCTTGTGATGAAACCCGTCCCAACATGATTATTATCATTGATCTTTATGATCCCCGTATTAACAATCATAGTTTTGACTTTTCCTATTCTAATTATGGAGACAGGATAATTATTAAAGGCAAACAGAGGTCTGAAGCCGAGGTGGATGTTTAGAAGTAAAAAGGCTGTGATAGTCATGTTATCACAGCCGTATCAGGACAGTTACCCCCTGGACAATCACCACCCGGAAAATTACCCCCGGAAAACTAACCCTCCGGAAAATTATTGTATCGCAAACCTGATCACTTAAGTTACCTTTGTGCCTTCAAAATCTTGCTTGGAGAAACACCCATGATTGTTTTGCTACAATCATTTTTTTGCGACAAACTCGTTTCCGACTTTGGTAAATCGAGACTATCGAGACGTTCGTTATGTACATTGAGTATGGCTAGGTTGTTTAATCTCATGATGAAAAAAACAAACAATTAAGCCTATATAATTTAAAGACGATCATGTCTGGCTTTTCTACATTTCGTCCTTGCAGTAAATCCCTTAGAGCCTTATCCTGCTTAACACTGAGAAACTTTCAATAATTTATATTATACGGTACATCAAGCATATCGGCCTCCACCCAGATCACTTTTATGGGCATTTACCATGTCTATGATTTGCTATGCATTCGGCCTGCACCTATATTTCATATGCGTTCCAATGTAAGTTTTCCGTTTCCAGGATCGCCATTAAGTATGATTTTTTACAGTGTAAGCATTAAAACTACTGCCCAAGGAGAATACCCCCCCCCCCCCATCTTGTCACTTACTTGTTTTTCTTATTATGTACATGTATAATTATATTCCATAGTGTTTTATAATGTACATTATTTCGTATTTGTATGTTTGCTTGTTTTTAACTGGTATGTGGAAAATAAATGAAATTAAAGCCCCACTGCACTACTTATCGCTACTTGCGCCCTCTATATAGCAAACAATGCTTAATCGGTGACCATTGATCCCCATGGTCCCCTTTTTCTTATGTTAATTGAGAGCAGATTTGATGGGATAACCACCCGTCAGTGACCATACAGGGAGGTCTAATCCCTCCTGGCCAAACTAGTGCAGATATGCTAAAATGAAAAACTGTGATGTGGCCACCAGGGGCGGATCCACCCGGCGGCAGGGGAGGGGACCAAAGAGGGGGCCCAATTCGTGAGAAAATATTTAGCGGCGAAATAGCCAGCCAGTGAATAAGCAGGGGGGGGGGTAAGGAGCAATTTTGCCCTCGAAAATTTGAAAATTGAACCACTCCCCGCCACCCCTCCCCCTTGAGCACCTGGGGATGGGGCCCGTCTCCAAGTAAAGGTAAAATTAACGTGTTTTTACCTGTCCCCCCCCCCCCTACATCCCCCTGGATCCGCCACTGGTGGCCACTATTTATGCGCGCGTGCTTAGTTTCGTGACGATCCTTAGCTTATGTGTGAGTGCACTGCCTGGACACTGTATGTATACTGATCAGTGGTTCCGAACTGTGCCACACCCAGTTTTTTTCTTAGTTAGGGAACTGGGATCGGGGGCATGGGGTGCGTGCATGAGCGCGCGCACACTCGTACTCAAAGGTACGGTACATAATTAGATTTTATATAAGTAACGATCAGACTAATCTGGTTTAGCTTCGCATGCTGAGAGTACGATCGAGATTCAACGTGACGAGTACTTACGAATATGCGAAAATCTTTTTGAAAATTATAAGCTGCTGATCTTTTCATCGAGAGACCGACGTGGTGAAAGAGTCTATTTAGACATTATAATTGAACTGGTATAATTTGTATTGAGTTACTACTTTCTATCATGGCGGATCAGGGCAGTCAATTTGTAACGCAATACTACACCGTATTTGACAATGATAGAACGCAGCTTGGACGTTTTTACGTAAGTATGATATAGAAGTTATTAGAACTACTAGTAGTAGAGTAGGCCTACTATATAGTACTAGAGATTCAAGTTAGATTACAGACAGACTTGTCTGAACATGACTTATGCGAGGATACAGGCGGGGGCACATCTGGCCCGTGACCCCTCCCCCCCCCCCGCCCCCATTTTTTGTTGGGGGGCGACATTTAAAAAAAAAATGGCCAAAAAAAAGAAAGAGAGGAAGAAAGAAAAAGAAAGAGAAAAGGGCAAACTAAACTTTAAATGCCAAACCGCCCAGTCCGCCTGGGACAGAGTCTCCAATTGTCTTGTTTTAAGGAAATTAGGCCTGCAGAAGTTTGATAGTGTCAAGGATTTTTAAAGAAACATTTAAACAAATCAAAATGAATGTAAGAAATCTGAAAAGTGAAAATGGTCAATATTTTATTTCATCTTTTTTTAAGGTTTAGAAACAGTGGCGGGTCCAGATGAAGTGGCTAGGGCCGAATCAGTCGCGGTCCCCTTTTTATGGCGACCTAAAAAAAAAAAAAGAGAGAGAAAAATGATAAAAGAGAAGAAGAGAGGAAGAGTAAAAAGAGAGAGAGAGAGAGAGAGGGAAAAAACAAGAAATATACTAATAATATAAAAATTGCTACTTTGAGTAACAGGTCGGCAACGTATTATACTGAATCCCAGCGCAAGTTATGCGTATTGCCTGCATCTACGTATAAATCACTGGGTGAACGGGGGGGGGGGGAGGGGCGGGCAAATCAGCTGCGGCCCTCCTTTTTTTTTGGCGGCCTAAATAAATGGAAATGGGAAAAAGAGAGAAAAATTGAAGGAAAAATGAGGGGGAAAAGAGATAATAATGTAAAAGAGGGTGGAGAGAGAGAGAGAGAGAAAAAAAGAAAGAAAAAGGAAGAAAATGAAACTTAATTCTACACTTGCAGTTACAGATTACATTTCCGATGAGTTTGCTATTAGTCTGCAGACAAAAGTAGAACAATACAAAAATAAAGTTCTATAAAATTGTCTTTAAGAGTGAAAGAGAGATTCTTTCTGAAATGAAAGGGGCTGTGTGACTTCCAAGGAGAAAAATTACAATTTCTATCGCTGGTGACGACTATTTTGAATTTTCCTGGGGCTCCGCCCCTAGACTCCCGGCAAAGGCTCTGCTCCTGCACCCCATTCGTAAAGACAGAAGTGGTTCCCAAAACAGCCTTTTGTTAAATAAAAATTGGAGAGAGTTTGAGCTTTATGCAGTTTAAGCTTCCAACAATCACTCCCGTGCATGGACTTTTTATTATTTACACAATCATTAATTACTCGCTGTCAAATGACATACAATTCTGAAAACTCAAAATCCAGCCATGATTCAGTCCTAGTTTTCTGATGTGATCAGGGATTTAGGACAGTCGGTAAATGTTCACTAGTATCCCTTTTAACTGTGTAGAGAAATAATTAAGCCGATATAATGAAAATGAAAAAGTATACAATAAATCGCGAGAATTGAGTTTGAAAACTGACATTTTCTTTTCAACTGCAGAAAAATAATAACGCCGCCTCCACAAATACAAGAAAGCAAACAAATACATACATACATACATACATATTGGTATTTATTGAGCGCCTTTACATGAACATGCTCAAGGCGCTTTACATTTTAAAATACAAACATAATAGTTATATACTCTCCAAGTGCATTACACTCCACAAAAAAAAAAAGATGACAATTACAAAGAAAACAAATGGGTTTTTTAATGTTTCTTAAATAATGCGACTGAGGTGCAAGAACGAATGCTTAAAGGGAGACTATTCCAAATAGTGGGACCAGAAAAAATTATATTTTGTTGACCCTTCTTTGAATTGATGCGGGGGATTTGCAGAAGAAGGGGGTCTGACCTTGAACGTAATGGATATCTTGATTGCTGGATGGGACAAAACAGACTAGAAATATAGGATGGGATAAGGTTATACATGGATTTATAAACAAATAGTGAAACTTTATAGATTATTCTCTTATGAACAGGTAACCAGTGTAGTTGTTTTAACAAGGGAGACACATGATCATATTTTCTTGCATTTGAAATAATACGGGCTGCACGATTCTGGATTCGTTGAAGTCTATCGATATCAGAAACATTTATATTAATCAAGAGGGAATTGGCATTATCAAGACGGCTTAAAACAAGAGAGCGAATAGCATGATGGCATGCCTCATCAGTTAGCATCCTTCTGACCCTAGATATGTTATATAAATGAAAATTTAAAGACTTACATAGTGAAGTAACCTGTTGAGACATGGTCAAAGAAGAGTCAAGAACAACACCTAGAGTTCTGACTGATTCAGAGGGCTCAACAAAAGCATCGCCAAGTAACAAATAAACATGATCAGGTAAATAATGTCTAAGTCTAGAAGAAATAATTAAAAGAGACTCTGTTTTTTGTTCATTCATGAGTAATTTGTTCTTTATCATCCATACATTAACTTCACTAACACATTTCTCTATCAATAATATTGCATTCTGGAAACTACTTGAAGATTTGGGGTTAAATGAATAATACAACTGAACATCGTCAGCATATAAATGAAATTCAACACCGTTATTCCTCAAGATATCACCAAGTGGTCTCAAGTACATCGTAAATAATAGAGGCCCCAATACAGAACCTTGAGGAACACCATATTTCAAACTAAGTTTATGAGACAAATGATTACCAATGGATACTGCAAATGATCGACCCTCTAAGTATGATTGAAACCAGTCGAGTACGGTACCAGACAAAAAGAAATCTGAGTGCAAGCGACGCAACAACACTGAATGATCAATGGTATCGAAGGCAGACTTCAAGTCAAGCATGACCATTATTACACCTTCTCTCTTATCAATTGCTAAGAGAAGATCATGCTTGACTCGGAGTAATGCCGACTCTGTACTATGATTTGCTTTATATGCAGATTGTAACACTTCATGCAGATCACAACGGTCCAGATGTTTAACTAACTGTTTCGATACAATAGTCTCGAGCACTTTAGAAAGAAATGCAAGATTAGACACAGGTCTATAGTTTGCCAAAACTAGAGAGTCCAAAGTTGATTTCTTGAGACAGGGTGATATAATAGCGTCTTTAAACTTGTCAGGGAACACACCACTCCTCAAAGATGAATTAATTAATGAAACAAATGGGGAAACCAATACTTCAATATTGTCCTTAACAAGCCACGTTGGCATTGGGTCCAGGGAACAAAATTTATTCGCTGATTTAGAAATAATCATTTTAATATCTGATGGAGAGACATCAACAAACGTGGAGAAACCAGTCTCACATTGATGTTTATTCATGGACTGAACGATACCAGAAGTTTGAAGACCCTGCTCCCTTTCATCTAGAACAGTCCTAATCTTAGAGATTTTATCATCAAAAAACCCTGCAAATTTGTTTGCTAGATCTGTCTGATCATCACAATGAGGGAGGACCTTCTTAGATGAACCAAGAAGTAAATGTAAAGTAGCATACATAGTTTTACAGTTAGCTTCAAGCAGCAGATTAGTAAAATAGCTACTCTTTGATTTCACTATAGCAGCGTTAAGTTCATCCTTATGACAAACAAAAATGTCACGATCAGCTCTTAGATTTGATTTTCTCCATTTCCTTTCAGATTTCCTCTTCTTTCTCTTGAGCAGGTGGATATTATCATCATACCACGGTCCACATGGTCTATCTCTTTTCATCCGAACAGAAACCGGACAATGTCGATCAAGAACATCACAGATAGCCTTGTTGATGAATTCAACCTGTTCATTAACATCACCACATTGTGATATACTCTGTAAAACCGCAACAAGTTCATTACCAAAACTCTCTTGATTGATCAAGCGATAGTTCCTTGACGTAATAAGAGTTCTCTTAGCATCCGACTTCTGTAGATTTAAGTCACAGCTAATGACATAGTGGTCTGATATGCCTTTATCAAGAACCATACAGTTATGCAAGATGTTGTCTGCACAACGCGTAATCACCAAGTCAAGGGTATGTCCATGCTGATGAGTTGGAAGCGTAATATGTTGTTGGAATCCTGAGGCACGGATGAGATCAAGGAACTGCCGGCTGACTGGAAGATCTGGTTGATCCACGTGGACATTGAAGTCACCAACGATAATAGTGTGACCACTAAGCATGGCGCATCTCCCGAAGAACTCATCAATTTCATCAAGAAAAGCTTTCGCAGTGAAGCCATTCACTGCAGATGGAGGTGGTCTATATATAGCAAATATGTGAAGACCCTTACTCTCATCAACCACATGCGCTGACTCAAATGTTACTGATGGAGAGTCCGATTTCATCAGTCTCAAGTTCAGATGTGTCTTATGCAAAATCCCAATGCCACCATGAGGATCATTACCACGTGCAATGTTCATGAAGGAGTATCCAGAAGGTTTAAGTTCTTGAATGACTACTGGGTCATCCTCAGACAACCATGTCTCTGTGATGACTAAGATATCCACATCTTCATCAATAGTATAGTCATAGATTCCTACAGTTTTGTTGCGAATAGATCGAGTGTTCAAAAGGTGCATGGACACGTTTGTGCTCAAATCCACAGTCTTGATATACTGGAGATTGTTAGTGTTGACTCCCCTCTGACCACGTAGGGTCACCTGATGACTCTGCTGAGATGGCATTATCCCAATATTCCTTTGTTTCCTCTGTCCACCCCTTGTCCCTCGTTGCCTTGCTTGGATGCCGAACTCTCTGATGTTACTCCATGTACCTTCATTCACCACCCCCCTGTTTCTTGATGTTCTGTATATAAGTCTATCAAGATTATGATCAATAGTCACTAGGGGTAGATGTGACCAGGCAGGATTAGACAGTAGGAGAGAGGACCGGTCATACTTGATGCACAGTCTCTGTTGACTCGCTGATGCACTCGGGTTTTTCGACGAATGATCACCATATTCTGGTCCAGGATTTGGATTTATGTCACCGGATACTAACAAACACAGTTGAAATGTTGCCGTAGAATTACAGTAATATAATATTCTACACTTTGAATACTTTGAATACTTACATTCACTCGACTTACCTATACTCTCTGTACCAGTCCTCTCCACAGGTTCACGCATTTGTGAACATGTACTTGAATCACATACAGACAGTATAAGTATCACACAAAAGCACAAGTGAAGTGTATCCATTGTATTGTACATACAGCCCTTACAGCTGAGTGAACATGAATAGTGAAAGTTGTCTACACTAGACTGTACACTATAACATGGACAAAATGGCCTGCTCAATACAGGTAGCACAAATGGTATACAAAATGTTACATCAAATATCTAAATAAATACAGCATATTACCGCACAGAACCGGCTCTAAAATATCCCTGCACATAATACAACAAGATAGTATGCATTATATCCACACAAGTACAGAAATCCAATAAAAATAACATGCAACTTGGAGAGCAATAACAAACACGTCAGCCTGTTAGGCGACATTCAATACATTCAATAAATTATCAATAATTCATTGCATTTGGCCCCGACCCCTAACATAAAAAAACCCCTCTATGTCGGCATGCCTTGAACCATAATGCATGGCCCTACAGAGGATTTTTTCCTGATTGAGACTGGGGGAAAATGCAATTTCTTTGTTTTTGTGTATTATTTTGTGGGGGCGGTGACGTACCCTACCCCCCCCCCCCCCGCTACGTACAGTCATGATTCAGTGGCTAAGCAATGACCTCGTTACTGTGAGGCCCAAGAATAAAAACCGTGTCGATCAGCTATATTAGTGCCCTTTTGTGAGGCATTAATCCTTATTACTGTCTGTTATGACTTAACGACGTAGGTCCCGTAGTTGAAATTATTATTCAATAAAATCTGAGAATGTATACTATTATTTAGATCTATAAGAAATAGATCATTGTCAAAATCAGTCCATAAATTGGGATAAAAATAATTATTCAACCATTATGAGCACCAGTGTATTTTCTCACTTCTGTATCTTCTAAATTTTACAAAATTGGCACGTGCAACATGCTTTCATGGAAGTTGAGTACCGGTAACCTTTAATTTCTGGAAATGAAAAATATGGATGGGAATACATTTTCATGACAATAATATTCGGCTTTTTTTCTTCCCCTATTCATGTTTTGACATATTGTGTTTTACTTGATTCTATTGCAGACGAATGTGAGCAAGCTGTCATTTGAAGGAGATGAATTTCAAGGGCCAGATGCGATTCGTGCAAAACTTGTGGTAAGTAAGAATCTTCACTAGAAAAGCGTGCAATCTATATAGATGTTTTTTTCTAAAAATGGCTGTGTAAATCCTGATTTAAAATGCCATGTGCTATGTAAGTACTATCAACTTACAAGCATGCATTAGTGAAAAAGAAAGACTCATGGGTTAAAGGATGTTCACATGCGAGACTCATTGTATTAGTGTACATCTATCTAGATACCAGTTCATTGACAGTGCGTGTAGTAGGGGTTATGGTATGACGTGAAATCATAAGTCCGAAAACTTTGAAATGATTACATATCATAAATCAGTGACTTTTTTTTTTGGTAAGTATTCAGCATTATGTGCTTGGGAGGGGAAAAGCAAACTTGCTGTGGGTCCTTCACATAATATATGGCACAAGGGTTACACAGGGCCTCCATCAAACGTCCTATCTGGGGATGGAGTGTTTTCTGCTGAGTGTGTCTATGGCTCACATCCCCATGCGCGGATCCAGCATTTCTTAGGGGGGGGGGGGGCCAAATTTGAAATCAATTTGAAATTTAGTGTGCTGAAATTTGAAAATCGTGCCGGCCAATATTTCGCTCAGTGGGGGGGGGGGGGGGGGGGGGGTAGTGAGCACTTTTTTTTTTTTTGCTTCCGAAAATTTGAAAATCGCGTCGGTCGATAATTCGCTCAGTTGGGGGGGGGGGGGGTAATGAGCACTAATTTTTTGTTTGCTCCCGAAAATTTGAAAAATTACACCCCCCCCCCCCCCACATCTCAAAATACACAGAAGGGTACATTGTCACCGTGACACAATTGCAATACATGCAGTGTGCAGACATCCAAACAGGCTAGTTTCAAACCTATCTCTGGTTTAACATGCTTTACCAACTAAAGCCTCGGTCAAAAATGCCATTACGAACTGCTACGAACGCCGTACGAACGATTTTCAGACAATGGAAATTCGGGAAGACAATATGGAAAAAAACAGGGAGATTTGTACGAATGCATCGTTTGTACGAACCTTTGTGACCGTAGTTTAATTAAGCCAACTCATTTCCTTATCCCTTGAAGGGACGCAATGTGATACGTTAGAGTCCTGCGTATCTTTTGATATTAAATGTATACAATTTTGACCAAAGGGTACTGCACAGCGTCAAAAATTGCAGCGCTGCACACGGCTAAAAAGTGAGCATTTCCCCATATGTAATGCACACAATGGGGAATTGTCACTCCGCGCCAGTTCGCAGATATGTGAATAGTTAATTAGCGATAATTCAGAAACCATTTGAGATATAGATATAAACTTCATGTGCATTTTCTTTTTGAGATAATCTATCTGTACACGAAGTTTCAGAATTGTTGTCATTTCACGACCAAGATTCCAAAGGATTCAAAGGGAGATCACCAAAATATCACAGTCTTTTTAGGGTTAAACGGAGAGGTTCTTGGTTTTTTTTTCAAGAGGGGGGGGGGGTTTAAAATCGGGCCCAAAATTTCGCAATGACTCAGCCAGCCGCTGAATAAGCGTGGGGGGGGGGGGGGTAAGCGGACACTTTTTTTTTTTTGGAGTCTCCAAAAAATCGCAACGACTCAGCCAGCCGCTGAATAAGCGGGGGGGGGGGGGGGGGGGGGGGGGTCTCGAAATTTGAAAAATTGACATTTTGTTTCCGTTGGGGGGGGGGGGGGTAAGGTCACCTTTTTTTTAAGTCAGTCATTTGCATATATTTTTTTTTTAATTAAAAAAACTCAAAAGGGGGGGGGGTTTCCCCAAAAACATACATAAAAAAAACTCAAAGGGGGGGGGGGGTTAACCCCAACCCCTCCCCCCCCCCCCCCCTGCGTACGCGCCTGGGTCCTTGTAATAATTTTTTTTATAGAATATCTCTTTGTATGACTTTTTTTCTTTTGCAGGGTTTGCCGTTCAAAAAAGTGACTCATGTTATATCAACAGTAGATTGCCAAATTACAGTCGACAACAAGCTTCTTATCGCTGTACTTGGACAGCTAAAGGTGAGAATCACTTCCAGTCTTTAGTGCGTCCTTGAGGCGGCCCTAGTTGTTGACAAATACCAAAAAATCTACGGCCAATTACAAATATAGGGCCGCCGCAGCATTCACACAATTATGGTAGTATACAAATAATACATAATAGTGAGGGCATTAGCTTTGAAACAGTCTTACACGCCCGAGTCTGTAGCCGAGGGTGTTTGGACTGTTTTTAAGGTACCGAGTGTGGGTAATTTTACTAATTCCCGAACAAAATAATGTGTATTATTTGTTTTATAAGATTATGTTTTATTCTTTTAATAAAATGATGTTTTTTAACATGATTTTACTAATGACCGGTCATTAGAATTGGATATTGACCGGTCATCCAAATTACACGTTAAGGCCCGGTCACACAGCCCTTCACGGGCGTATCGCGGCCGAATCACGGCCAAAAATTTCTGCCCGTGAAGCAGACGCTGTTGGACGCTTTGAGGTCGATATAAAGACGCGATACAGCCGTACTTTACCCGTCGTTACACGCGGTAAGAAATTCACACGCGGTTGGCCGCGCGAAAAAGTTTTGGGCTGCCCAAAAATTTAGACCGCGGGTAATCGCGGGCGGTACACGTGGTACACACGCGGTAAAGACGCGGTACAGACGCGGAACGAACGTGCTAGGACGTGCTACGGCCGCGGTTAAGACGTGGTTACACGCGGAATTGGACGCGAAATTTTAGCGGGTAATCGCGGGTGGAGCACGGTCATAGCACGTTTGTTCCGCGTCTGTACCGCGTTGTTATCACGTGCATTAGCGTGTGTACCGCGTGTAAGCGTGGTCGGCCGCGGTACCGCCGCGCTTCACCCGCGATAAGGACGCGGAACAGTCGCCGGCGTCTGTTCCGCGGGCATACCACGGGTAAACCGCGGGTAAGCCAATTTTGCACATTTTTCCACCACGGGCAACCGCGGGCAAAAAAAAATCGCGAAATTTTACCCGCGATACAGACGCGAAAGGCTGTGTGACCGGGCCTTAAGGCAAAATAAATGCCTGGTCACTTGTACGCTTTCAACCAATCGTTTTGATTAGGATCCACGTCATCATCTTATAACAGTCACTATGTTAGGGTATAGCAGCCGCAGGGCGTATTTTGAATTTGTGGAGACAGAAAACCCGCGGCTGCCGTACGGCCTTTGAGGTGATGACGCATGGTCGCCTTGGGGCGTCCCTGCGGCGGCCGAACAGTTACGGTGTATCTTATGCCTAGGTCACATTTGCTCTACGGCTAGGATACGGCGGCCGTATGCCCCCGAAATCGAGAGATACTTGTGGCGGCCGCAGAGAATCTGCGGTGGGATCAGGGTCACCCTAGGACATATCCCTATCTTTACAGGCCGTATACGGGTCGCCGTTGGATTATAACGCGGAGTTACAACTGTTTTCATTTCTAGGTTCGCCATAGCGATTAGACACGTCAAAACGCTACGGCCGCAGGGACGCCCTAAGGCGACCGTGCGTCATCACTTCAAAGGCCGTACGGATATCACAGATATTTTGTCTCCACAAATTCAAAAGACGCCGTGCGGCTACCCCAGTGGCAGGATTTTTTCAAGGAAGGGGTTTTAAAATCGGGCCCAAAATTTGCTCCCGAAAATTTGAAAATCACGCCGGCCGTTGGGGGGGGGGGGGGTAAGGTCACCTTCTTTAGGTCAGCCATTGGCATATTTTTTTTTCTATATATAAATTTTATTTAAAAAAAAAAAAATAAGGGAGGGGTTTTCACCAAAAAATACACAAAACATACACATAAAAAAAACTCAAGGGGGGGGGGGTTAAGCCCAAACCCCCCCGCCCCCCCCCCCCCCTCCCTCTGCGTACGCGCCTGGGCTACCCTATCATATTATGTGACCGTGGGAATGCTGCGGCGGTCCTTGCTATTGGCCGTATATATCTTAGACCGCACGACCGCCACGGCAAATGTGACCTAGGCAGTATTGGCTGAATTATAACTCCGCGCTATAATCACACGTGACCCTGAGGCCACCGCAGATCCTCTGTGGTCGCCCAAGGTATCTCTCGATTTTAGGTGCCTACGGCCGCCGTATCCTAGCCGTATAGAGCAAATGTGATCTAGGCATTAGAATCATGTATTATTTGTACAAACATGGCAAAGCGAAATCTATTTTGGAGAGATGAATTTATTGATGGATAAATGAATCAGAAATTTAACTAATGAATGAATGAATGAATACATGTAATATTCAATGATTTTGTGAAGTCTTTTTTACAAATGGAAACTACATTTTTCGTTCAAGTCTCTAAAATACATGTACACCATAAAAAGGTTTGTATGTGGAATTCAAAATTCTCAAAGTCACTCCCTGTTTAGAATTGACATCGTGTTTCTGTGATACTGCTATTGAAATTCATAAGATATATATAAACACCATGTTATCTTCCTTTTTTTCTTCTGCTGTAGACGGATGATGATCCTCCACATAGCTTCTTCGAAATTTTTTCAATCGGTGAAGAAAATGGGTCCTTCATGATTTTAAACGACATCTTTAGGCTATCCCTCCATACAATGTAGGATAAAGATGCCTCCGTCACAGTTTGTTATGTGTAATTGTGTACACTTATATGTAATGTTTAGGCTTGTATTATCATTTTACTATCATTTCATCAGTTTAATGATTTTGATTATATATGTGTGTACTAAAAATCTCCTTTCTCTTAAAACATTAATGGGAAAGTTGTTTGTGAAGTAAACAGACATCCATACCCGGTCTCAGCTGCCTTCTCATGTTTATATTAATTTTCATGGTCTATCCTAATTAAATATTCATGTTTAGTAAGGGTGAGAGGTGTCATGTGAGGGGGGTTCAGGGGGTTTCATCATCCTTCCAAGTAAGATTTTTGTCCACAAATTAACAAAATATATAGTTTTACTATAATTGTTAATCGATTTAAAAGCTGGAAAATTTGTTATTCAAAGATTTTTTGCAAACCTTTCGGCAATACTTTTCAGAGAAGCATCGAACATTTCCACCAAATTCCATGACTAGTCTTGGGCTCTGCTCCTATACTTTTCATCCCTCAAATATTTAATATTGTGTCTAGCTTTGAATATTTAACTTTTAGGACTACCTGTGATTTTAAGGACTGGAGCTTAAAAGGGCCACTCTAACCCAACTAGCATAGCCTTTTAAAACATGAATACACCTCTACTTATTAATATGAATGTATTGATATCCTTGTATTTGTCCTACAACTAAGGATCTTACAATCTCATTGTAATTCATAATTAGGAAATACGAAATTGCCAGAAACGTACTGGGATTGTCAAGTGCCTTTTTTTTTTGGATAATTTTTTTTTCTTCAATTAATATCATAGTTTGCCTTTTTAAAGACATTTTTATGCCTAAATCACCCGCCTTTTCACCGGAGAGGCTCCTGCAATGACGTCATATGATATTGCGCAATACAGCTCAGAAACTGAGCTTTTTTGATGAACGCTTTGAGTCGTCATTTTTAAAAGCTATATTCCATAATTATTAATGATTTCTAAGAAAAATCATTGTCATGTTCGGAATTGTTCAAAAATTATTCTACATGCCTTTTTTGTCTTCATTTTTTAGCCCGTTTTAGTTAGAGTGGCCCTTTAAGACCGATGATTCATGCATGGTAGACATTTATAATGGTGTATATTAATAAGAGGTGTTGTGGTCGAGTGGATACGTCGCCCGACTGTCGATCACAAGGTCCGCGGTTCGAGTCCCGCCGTTGCACTAATGTCCTTTGGCAAGACATTGATCTACATTTGCCACACTCCACCCAGGTGAAGTAAATGGGTACCTGGTAGGAATTTATTCCTTGAAACGCAGCGCGCGTAACAGCTGCACTGCTAAAGCCAGGGTAATTATACTGCATTATTGTAGAGCGCTTAGAGACTTCTGACAAAGTAAGTGTTAGGCGCTATATAAGCACTGTAATTATTATTATTTATTAATATAATCATAATAGGGAAGCTATTTATGTGTATGTCCCTCTGTAATCTGTCTGTCCAGATTCTTTTACTATACAAAGTATGTAACTTGTGTGCGCGTTTGATTACTCACAGAATTCTGATATATGTAGTTATGCATGTAAAAAGTTAAAAGACGATTAAGCATGCAACACAAACTTCATTCTATGCTGTCAAAAAAGAAAAGAGAAGAGTTGGGGCATTTGACAATGACCTCTTATATGAGAGTGAATGCTATTTCACAGACTATAGATGACCTTTAGACCACTGCGTACAAGAACCAGGTAGATCCTGTATTGAGCCTATGGGGATAAAAGAATTCAATAGTCAATAGGTTGAATAACCACTTGTGTGTGCATCCATGAAGATGAAGAATGCTTTTCTATATGTTTCACCTTGTTGATTTGATTCCATGTCCTGTCTTGTGAAGATCTATGAATAGTATACAAATATACCACGCTGTGAGAAAGAAGAGTAAACAAATATACCTTGCACTGAGAGGCTCTAGTTGAAATTATGGATCGAGGTGGCAGGAATAGCACTATTTTCTGAGGGGCGTAGCCCCGAAGAAAATAGTGCCATTTGTATCGCCGAGGAATCCATAATTTTAACTAGTGGCTTGAAATAGTGCATGATATATTTGTTTTATATTTTTCAAACCAACCTTCATACAAATAATAATTATATTAATAATTATGTTAACTGTCACTGAAGTAGTGTAGAGTGCAGTGAGAGCAGCGCAGATGACTTTTGTAATGACAGTACCGCGACCGCGACCGATAGCACATTGATCTTGATCGATCGCATATATATGACGTCATCCATGGTATAGTGCCATGGTATAGTTTGCACTATACCATGGATGACGTCACGGTTACATAATAGCAATGTTATGTTTGGTCACATGATGCTATGTTGACCAATCACTGAACAGGATTTCATTGATCAAAAATATAATGGAAATTATTTATCTGAGGAGGGACGAGCAAAGTACTATTTTTTCCGAGGGGCGAAGCCCCAAGGACAAAATAGAAACTTTTGCAGTCCCTCAGAAGATATATAATTTCCACTATTCTTACGAACTAAATGCTTATATTGTATTACGTGACTACCAATTGACCAATCATGTATTTAGAAAACTCATGAATATTCATAGAAGGGATATAATACACTATATTATTACCTGTTTAAATGTCGTTTAGTTCTTACTATTCATAGATAATATTAACGAATTCAATATCACAATCTTACAGACATAGAATGGGAATGCATAGTTCGATAGGTTTTGGCAAATTATAATATCCAACTTGTCCTAACTTGCACACATCAATTTATGATTTGTGCTTATCGCCAATTCCCTGTCTATTGTTACCAAACAGTTGTTAAAGGTATAGTATGTCCCTTTTGCAGCATAGTACCTTTAAGTCAATATACCGGTTTACTAACATATTCACATTCATGAAGGCTTCTCTCCAGGGGACCTAGTAACAAGTTATTCCATTAACCTGTTATTAATGAATGAATTCCAATACTTGGAATCCATTCTGCATACATTACTTGTTGCTATGTCATGCAAGCCTCTGGCAAGCTGTCAGGTTGTCAAGAAAAACCTTTGATTAAAAAGTATGCATAACATTTGAATTCGTTAGTAAACCAGTCTATTGAAGAAACCTTTGAATCTATGAAAGAATATTCACCTTTGGTCACACTTTCTTATTTTCTACATTTATCTTGGTTGGGGTTTCTATATCTTTGTAGATCTTTTATTTGTGTTCCATGCAAGAAATGGCATGTTTGTGTATGAAGTGTATTACTTAGATTTGGTGAGTTTAAAGGGTAAAAGGATGATACACTTATACATGTGTATCTGGTCAGCTATAATAGAGCATAATATATATTCTCATTAATACAAAACAAAAAATTGGCCTTTGTGTCCTACAAGCCATGATGAAATTACGTGAAGTATAATTATAAAGTGAATAATAACTTGCCTCATCACATACATAATTTCACCAATTAAGTTTGATTCATAAAGTATTGAGGACTGTGTATGGTTATAATGCTGGTGTTATTGGAGATATATGTACAAAATGTATGGCTTAGGTCTGGTTCACAAAAGGCATTATTTTACACTATTATTGAAGGATGATTCAGGTCAATAGATCACACAACAGTACCAGGCACTATCTCTAGCCACACATGCAAACCCCTTGAAGCAGTGTGTGATACCCTAGCGCAAGGTTTTGCATTTGTCCTAAAATCAACTTTCAATGGAATAATTCCTTGTGTGCATCAGGGTTCAATATGTTACTAAGACAGTTTTCCATTGAAAGTTGATTTTAGGACAAATGCGTAACCTTGCGCTAGGGTATCACACACTGCTTCAAGAGGTTTGCATGCGTGGCTAGAGATATAGTGCCTGGTACTCTTGTGTGCATCTATTGACCTGAATGTCCTTCAATTGATAAAATAACACCTCGTGTGCGCCAGCCCTATAGACCAGTTCGTAGATACAATCTGCGCATGTGCAGATAAAGTTCACTTGTATAAGATTATAAAACACACTGATACCCCATTCACAGTGGTTTTGAAATTTATAGCGGCGTTGTAGCGGAGCGGCGACACCGCCATAACACCGCTACAAATGCATTCACAGTAGAAAAGTTATCCCGCTGCAGCAGCGGGATAAATATCATGTACCCATTCACGCTGCAGCGGGTGATTTTTATTACCTCCGTAACAAACACGTGTATGCATGGCTTATGACCCGCGAGTGACCCCGATATGACCGGAAATACTTCAGCGCGGGGTTTTCGATTGCTTGAAATTGCGCGCGCTAGCTGTACTTTACACAGTCTTCCTCATGTAGCTAGCTCGATTTAGCTATGGATCTATCTATACTTTTACGTATTGCTGTCGCTTTCATTCTACTGGAATTGCAGAGAACGAATCGCAATATTTTAGTTCATTTTTATTGCTTCCAGTCAGAATATTTTAATTTTTTGAAGTGTGAAATATTTTTATTTGGATAATTATAATATCTACATAATAATAAAATCAATTTGAATCCACTGGTTACTTTATTTCTATTTCACTTTATGTTCCCCATTGCTGGAGAAAAGAGGTCAGTGATAGGTAAGTAAACAAATCACACGTGTTTGTCGCGGTGTTATAGCGGAGAGCCTTCACACCGAGTAAACACCGCGACAGCAGCGGGACTGTCCCGCTGCTGTAGCTAGGCGAACCTAGCGATAGTTTGTCGCGGCGTTATCGCGAGGCGGTGTTATCCCGCGATAGTTTATAACGGGTCCGAGCCTTCACACTGAAGACAACACCGCGACAGCAGCGGGACAGTCCCGCTGCTGTCGCGGTGTTTGAGGCCACTGTGAATGGGGTATGAGACTCATACTGGATACATGCTTACGAAAGTTCTGAAATCATTATCCATGCATGCACCTGTGATACATTCTATTGAACACAGGTTGAAGTAATCCTTTCAAAGAACCACCTCCATGACTTTAGCTGCGATTATTCCAAAAGGCACAAAAATGAATGTGATTTATCTATGTTTAATAGATCTGTGGATATTTGGGGTCATCTAAACCAGGTGCTAACTATACGAACTGGTCTATTACAGTCTACACAAAAATGAAAGCATACATAACTTTTTTTGCGACATCTCTGTGGTAACTCATTGCTTACTGTCGCCTGAATTATATTGAATTAAACAATCAGTTGGCCTGGTTGGCAGGAGTAAATAATTCCTTGCGTGCATCAGGTGCTTTTATGCTGGCTGTTATTTTTTATTGGAGTTCCTTTGCACCGAAGGGTAATTTTTAATCATACCGAGAACTATGCATGTTCTACTCGAGTTTTCTCCAATTTTGTAATAAAAAGAACATGACAAATAAAAGAAAGTGCCAGAATATGGAACTCCGACTATTGTTTTTATTTTGATGGTAAAGTTTAGTCCATGTGGTGATTTGGCCTTTGCAGTTGTAATCAAGCTTCCCGTGACTTTGAATATCATTATCTATGTAAACATTCTATGTAAAAATTACTACAATTCTTTCATATATATCACTGTAGTAAGCACACACAAGTGCATATCCAATGTGTTATCTTGCCAGGCTTACTCTATCCAGGGACATGCTAGACATATCCCTGCTCTATCCATCTGACTCGTACTTGTCAAATATGAGACAAGATACTCATTTTCATATAGCCTCTGCATTGTATTAAGACCTCGGACTATTAAAGACTAACTTCCTTTGTTGAACCTGAATTGAACAAAAACATTAACCCTGCGTCAGCTTTAAATGTTAGTACAATACGGGCCATTTTTTTGTTTAGTATAACGAACAACTGCAAGAAAGTATGACATTTCTAAATTGTTTACATAATAAATAGTAAAGAGAGTTTCTTGATTCTTTTGCAGATGTTCCGAAACTACAAAGGCGCTTTAATAGCTTTCTACAATAAAGGAGAACAAGAATGAAATTCAAAAATACATGGCCATGAAATGTTCACTCTTCTCTAGAATCCAGTTAAGTAGAACCTTATTAATGACTTTTAAAATAAGCAGTTTCGTCATGGCATATACTAACTTATGGATAAACCTGTTTCAAGAATCAATCCATTTTTGTAACAAAAATAAATCAGAATTCTTATGCTATGAGTTGCATTTACTCTATACAAATGAGGCGATGCAACATACACTTTAAAAAAATGTCTTCTTCAATAGACTAGACATAAATATTTCTACAACATGCTAACCGTGTCTTTCTCCTGTTTCTAAATCTAGCGCTAAATCCTGCTTTCTGAACTGTAGACACAAACATGTATGTGGTATAATAATCAAACAATGTTATGGCATACAACGAAATAATCTGCTGAGCTGTGAAACAGAGAATAACATTGTTACATAATCAGAAGAGGTCCCCCCCCCCTCAATTTTTGCTAGGGGAGGGGTTGTCCCCCCGGAAAATTTGAAAAAGTTCCAAACAAAATTGTATAGCAAATACTGACTAAAGACTGCAACAAACTGTTAGGCTCTGGAGGGCCCAAGATTTCAGCGTTTAGAGTCATTGCAAACAATTCTGAACTATACTGAACTTGGCCCGAAAAAAAATCTTAGATTTTTACAGAGCAAAATATATGTTTTTATCATTTCAACATTATTGCATGTATAGCTAAAGAGGAGCTAAAGTGAAAATTGTACAAAATAGCATAACAAGCCTGTAGTATAAGAAACAATAATACAGCAACGTATAGAGTCCTACCGTATAGGACAGGGGCGGCGAACCCGGGGGGACGGAGGGGGGACACGTCGTCCCCCCCCCCCTCAATTTTTGCTAGGGGAGGGGTTGTCCCCCCGGAAAATTTGAAAAAGTTCCAAACAAAATTGTATAGCAAATACTGACTAAAGACTGCAACAAACTGTTAGGCTCTGGAGGGCCCAAGATTTCAGCGTTTAGATAAATAAAACTGCAAAAATCTTCTCGCTCGGAAGCTACGCTACCTCGCAAAACATCCTTCAATGTGTACAAGTAAATATTGTAGAAAGTGAAGTGAGAACAAAAGAATATTGCTTGTTTTTATACTATAGTTTTGCTAAGGAATGTATTTTTTTAATACAACACTACTTCAAAAACCTATGAGGGGGTAGTCACTTTCGACACCTTAACCCCTCTCGTTCACTATGCTCCCTCACACTGGCATAAATATGAGGGGGGGGGGCTTCCCCCTAATATATTCAAATGTGGTTTATTTCTAATTCGAGTCCAGTGATTTACAAATGTTGCTGAATTGGCATGGTTTTTTCCATGCGCTTGGCTCTAAGGCGCCTGGATGCTCATCTGACCGTAATTAAATGCCTAAAAAAACCTTAGATTAGATGGGGGCGTAATTAGTGACCTGAATGCCAGTGTCACAAAAGTAGGTTTCTAAATATGCTCACCCGACCGTAATTAATTGTCTAAGACCCTGGAGCTTCCGGGGCTCCGCCCCCTGGACGCTCATCTGACCGTTATTAAATGGCTTTAAAAAACCTGAGCTCCATGGGGCTACACCCCTGGACCTCACGCCAATTTACGCTCCACTTGCTTCGCTCCCTTTACTCTACCTGATCGTAAATACTTTAGCCCCCCCCCCCCCCCCATTTTGGAAAACGTTCCGCGGGGCCTGCATGTAACATGCAAGGGTGGGGGTGATGTGCATTTTTTCCTCCCCCTAACGTTTTTGCTCCTAACGCCACTGCTCCCTCGTCCCTCGTATTTCGTCCTCTCCTCCCCCCCCCCCCCCCCCGGTCATAAAAAGAAATCGCCGCCCCTGGTAGAAGATATAACTTATTTTAAGTTTCTCAGCGTTAAGAAGGCTTAGGCGTCAGGGGATTTACTGCAAGGACGAAATGTGAAAAAGTCAGACATGAATGCCGTTCAATTATATGAGTTTGTTGGTTTTATATCATGAGATAAAACAACCTTGCCACACTCGATGTAAATAAAGAAGGTCACGATAGTGTTGATTTACCAAAAAGCCTCAGAATTACAATATGTCCAACATTTTTTGGTGCTCAAAAACATTTTGAAGCCCTAAAAAGTTTCATCAAGAGAAATTCACATTAACATCGACGGATTCCGGATTTTCCTGCAGGTCCTAAGGGCACAGCCCCCGAATGCTCTCAAGTTTGAGCAATTAAGAACACATCCTCTCTGAATGACATTTTTTTAAAAAGGGGGGGTTGTTTTGGGAACTACTTCTATCTTTAAGGCCGCCATCGCAGTCAAGCGTCGCTCAATATGATGGCGCTCTCTTGCACTTTTACGTAGAGTACCTATATATAGGTACTCTACTTTTACGCAGATAGTTAAGAAATACTTTAAATTAATAAACTATATTATAGAAATATCAAGTTCGTTATTATTATGTATAATATATAAATTACATTATGACATAAAGTTATTGTTTGCATATCAAAAATGCAGAAAAAAAAAATGAAATTTTGACGAATTGATGAAAGTGGTGTTATCCTTTTTCTCAAAACATGTATATGCAAAAATGCCTTCTCTCAAAATTTTAATATTTCAAGAATACCTCGAGAACAGTGGGTCACATTTTAATTTAAGTGCAATTCCGAACTTTTCCGAAAATTATCTCTCTCTTTCTTTATCTATTACACTCTCTTTCTTAATCGTTTCTCCCTATTCTATATTCTCTATCTCTCTCGCATTTTCCCTTTTTCTTTCTGAATTTCCCCCCCCCCCCCCCTCTGTCTCGCTCCACCGCTCTCTCTCTCTCTCTCTCTCTCTCTCTCTTGCTCTCTCTCTCTCTCTCTCTCTCCTTCTCTTTTTGTATACATCTCTTTGCTTATTCTTTAACATAATGGCCGTTTTTGTAAGCAAAATGTAACTACATGACTGTATGTCTAATTGTAAATAAAGTTGTATTTTATTCTTCATTTCTACGTACGATATTTTGTGCATTTCAGCTCCTGAGCTACGATATAATGATAACATACCTTTAACTTTAATTCATTTCAGTCTTATATTGTAAGAGTAGGCTATGGTGTGCTTATAATTTAGGCCTATACATTTTCAAATTTACGCCACGTGATATCAGTTTTTGAATAAGGTGAAGATATATACAATTTCCATTACAATATTATTATTATTAAAGACAGTGAATCAGAATAAAGGTGTCTGGTACCAAATCAAAGGAATTTTTGTACACGAAATATTAACATAAACAAAATATAGATTGAGTACACCAAGACATAGGCGTAATTGGGACAGAGGGAGCAAAAATCTCCGAAATTTCTGGTCAGGGTGCAACAACAATTGCTTTTTACTCCCCAAACTCAAAAATTGGGTATAGTATTATACAAGCTTTCTGGTGCTTTCAAGTGCAACAGTACAATGATCCAAATATCTTGATTTCCTCTTACTCGGCCTCTGTTCACCCTATCCCATAACTTTTGATTTGATTCAAAGATATATATATACAGAATTTCTTGCGCAATCTCATGATTTTTTTAAGGGGAGGGACTTCAAAACGGTGGAAGGGGGGGGGGAGTACACCAGTTTGACTATATCCATTTAGATAGATAGATAGTTTATTGGGTTTTTTTTTTTACAATATCTCATTTTACAAAGAGTGTAACAACATATTGAAAATGATTATAATATACATGTACATACTATACCGGTAAACACTATTCAGAATATTGTCCTTGAGTTGAACTTAAGAGATATAGTGGCGGAGCTAGCCTATGGAAAAGCAGAGCTTGTTGTGGATACGCTCCTTAAAATGAATTGAATTGAATATACATGTAAAAGCTAAACATACAATAGAAAATAGTATACATACAAAATACAAAGCAAATATATGATCAGGACCACAAAGAAGCAAATTGCTTATAAATAGGGCCCCACAAAAATCAAATTAAATCAAATATAAATCCCTCACCATACCCATACATGCACACCTTAAACTACAAATGACACAATTAATTAAAGTAAGGTTTATAAACTACATATACACGCTAAAGCAAGGAGAGGTAGATTACAGGGATACATGAACCGGTTACAAAAGACAAGAGAAAGGGAAGGGAATATATGCTGCCATTGCCGTCGTTACAGTGCATTATCTCATCAGCGTTTTAACTTTCAAAGTCTTTTGGCTACGGAATGTCCGAAAGCAGTTTCAAAACCGTCCTCGATCCCATCTTCATCATCATCAAAGGTATTCTGTCTGACATCGACATCATCACCGTCGTCATTATGTCGATAGATCTGTTTCTTGGAGGTGATCGTCGATTCTGCTGACAGCTCAAATGTGGATGGCGTCGTGTCACCTTTTCTGTTCCTCCATCTACTAAACAGGTCATAGGAGCCTGTCCTACAACTCGATACATTGCAACAATTCTTCTCTCTGTCCTGATCGTCGGTTGTAGAGCGTTCACGAAATTGATTACTATTTCCCATGCTTGTAGTCTCGTCAGCAGGAGGCAGGCGACAACAAAATATCTTTCTCCATTGGGAACGAGCAGCAGGGTTACGCAGACAGTAGAAGAGAAACAGGAAAAAGCCTTGGAGCGAGTTTAAGATGATGAACATTATCTGGATTGATACAGATGCACCCTGCACGAATCAAAAAGATGGTTTACAAAGCAGTGAGTGGGTGTTTGTATGGTAGCTATTGTAGCTAAATAAGATATTCGGAAGTATTTTGAGCTTATTTATAAAAGAAAAAGTTCGAAAATAAAGGCATCAAGATCAGTACAGAACAGAGGCAGATTCACAATTGTCAGAAAGAGAAGGGTGAAGATTTTCCGGACATTAACATGACAGGGTATAACGAGAGAGGCAAATTCATGTTTATCCACTGAATGAAAAAAAAAAAATTAAATCTGAAAATGTTCAATATTGACGGAATTTATTAAGAATTTTATGAAATTACTGGAGAATACGTTCAGAAGTGTTAACGGGTAGTCATATAGATTATAGAAAACTTTAAAAAGTACTGACTGACTGAATATTAAGCAATCAAAAATCTAACCGAAATAATGTCCAGGTAAAGTAGGCCCAGAGTAGGGAAAGGTTTATTAAGAAGGTATATAGTTACCTCGATGGCTGTAAAGAATCCTATTGCCCATGTCAACCCCATCAATATGATAAGAGCTGAAGCATTCTGAAGACGACGAAGGCGCTCTTTATAGATAGGTTTGGTGAGCTGTCTGCCTGCGACCTTACGTGAAAGACGACGGATCACCATCACGAAGATGATAGAATCATATATGATGACTGTTGCTATCGGAACGAGGACCCCGCCTATCATCGGAATCTCCGCCAAGAAACCACATCTATGCATGGAGAATAAGACTTGATTAATGTACATACCAAAAATATATTTTTTTAAATATATAATTGACAAGCATCATCATTAACGATAATCAAAACATTTTAAATTCAAATCGTGACACCATCAAAAATAAATCAGATTAACTTAATTGCATGGTTTGTTTTACCTGACAAGAAGAATAGTATCAAAGTAGTAAACTTTATTGGATAACTTGTTTAGCAAAAGGCCATCTGCCACGAGGTACATAAGAAAGATAATATGTATGCTTGTAATTAAGCAACCCGGGGACCGACGGCTTTAAGTCCTCTCTGAGGGACTTGGTAATCAGGATTAATGCCTTAAGGGGCTTTCACACCGGGCCTTGCATAGAGTTGCGTAGTGTTGCGTACCGACTACGCCGAGCGTACGCTACCCTACGCCGGCCTACATAACTGTACGCTTACGGACGCAAATGGATACGCGAGGTGGACGCATCGCGTACCTTCGGCGTAGACAATATACGCAGAAATTAGGCAATTTGTACGCAAGTCTACGCAACACTACGCTACTGTACTTCAAGCCTACGCAACAGTATGCTACCCTACACCAGTCCGACGAAGCAGCAGTAAGCAGCCGTACAAACCGCAAGCAAACCTGTACGCCAGGCCTACGTAAACGTACGCCTAGGCCGAAGCAACATTTTTAGGTACGCGGTGCTTATGCACAGGGTATGTAACCCTACACCATCGTATGCCAGCCTACCCATAACCTACGCATGGACTACGCCGAAGCATACGCAGCCCAATTTCGGCGTAGTCGGTACGCCAAACTACGCAACTCTACGCAGATCCGGTGTGAAAGGCCCCTGCGTAGGTTATTCGTAGGCTGGCGTACGATAGCGTGTGGTTACGTAACCTGTGTATAGGCACCGCGTACCTTAAAATGTTGCTTCGGCGTAGGGTTGCGTCCTTTTACGTAGGCCTGGTGTACAGGTTTGGTAACGGTTGCGTACGTTTGCTTACTGTGTGAGCAAGCTTTTACTGCTTCGTCGGACTGGCGTAGGGTAGCGTAGTGTTGCGTAGGCTTGGTGTACAGTAGCGTAGTGTTGCGTAGGCTTGCGTACAAATTGAGATTTCTGCGTATAGTGTCTACGCCGAAGGTGCGCGAAAAAAATTAAGCGTACGCTCGGCGTAGTGGGTACGCAACTCTACACAAGACTTGGTGTTAAAGCCCCTTAAGGCCTACCAAATGGCACTTACGCATCGCATCAGCTAGTGCTTGCATTAGTGTGGATTATGCTATGGTCACATAACCCAAAAGTAGCCTGGTCGGCGGCCGAGCGGCGAGTTTTTAACCTATTCTGCCCGGCGGCTGCCCGGCCACCGAGCGGCGGCCGCCCAGGCACCGCTCGTTTTTAGGGCATCGCTCGGTCGCCGCTGTAGTTTTAGCGCGGAGTTAAAATTCGGGCGGCGCCTGCTCACTTTTCAGTCGCCGCCCAAAATACGCTCGGTGCCTGGGCGGTCGCTGACCGGGCACCGACGTAATCGCTGGGCGATGCCTAATTCCAGCAGCGACCGAGCAGGCTACTGACCGGTCGGTCGCTGCTCTGATTTGTGACCATAGCTTTACTCAAGAAAGAAAAAGGAAAGGAAGAAAGGACACTTAGCCTATATATCGTCCTTGTTTTCACGAAGTGACGGTAGTGAGGAAAATCGTCACGCAAAGTGAATGCAATTTTTTTTCACTACCGTCACTTCGTGAAAACAGCGACGATATATAGTGGCCCTGAAGGGATATCGCGAATAGACTAAATCGTGAAAAATATGCGATAAAATTCACGATATCGTCAATTTTATCGCATATTTTTCACGAAGAAATTCACGAAATTGACGATATCGTGAACTTTATCGTGAACTTTTCACGATGAAATTGACGATATCGTGAATTTTATCGTGAAAAGTTCACGATTTAAAGTTCACGATATCGTCAATTTTATCGTGTACTCTATCGTGTACTCTATCGTGTACTCTCCTGACGGGCGCTTCGTAAACAAAACCAGCCCTAGCTGGGGGAGACAGAGAGAAGGAAAAAAGGGAAAGGGAAAGAGAAGATAAAAGGAAAGAAAGAATAATAAGAAGAAAGAGGGAAACGGGGGGGCGAAGGGCTCTTGCCTCCTCCTCACTCCCCCCCCCCCCCCCCCTCCCCGCCAAAAAATAAATCAGAGAGAGAGAGAGAAGGGAAAGGGAAAGGGAAGAGAAGATAAAAGGAAAGAAAGAAGAGGAAGAAGAAGAAAAGAGGAAAACGGGGGAAGGGCGAAGGACTCTTGCCCCCCCCCCTCCCCCCCCCCCCCCGCCAAAAAATAAATCAGAGAGAGAGAGAGAAGGGAAAGGGAAAGGGAAAGAGAAGATAAAAGGAAAGAAAGAAGAGGAAGAAGAAGAAAAGAGGGAAACGGGGGCAAAGGGCTTTTGCCTGGTCCCCCCGCCCCCCGCCAAAAAATAAATAAGAGAGAGAGAGAGAAGGAAAGGGAAAGAGAAGAAAGAAAAAGAAAAACGAAAAAGAGGGAGAATAGGAAAGAAAGGAAAAGAAAGAAAAGAAAGGAGGCAAGAGCCCTTCGCCCCTGTTTCCCTCTTTTCTTATTCTTTTTCCTCTTCTTTCTTTCCTTTTATATTTTCTTTCCCTCTGCCTTCTCTTTCCCTTTATGGCGGGAGGGGGGAGGGGGAGGTAAGAGCCTTTCGCCCTTCCCCCGTTTCCCTCTTTCCGTCTTCTTCTTCTTTCTTTCCTTTTATATTTTCTTTCCCTTTCCCTTTCCCTTCTCTCTATCTCTCTTTCTCTCTCCTATTTATTTGTTGGCGCGGGAGGGGGGAGGAGGCAAGAGCCCCTCTTTTCTTCTTCCTTTCCTTTTTTATTCTCTTTCCCTTTCCCTTCTCTCTCTCTCTCTCTCTCTCTTATTTATTTTTTTGGCGGGGGTGGGGAGGGAGGAGGCAAGAGCCCTTCGCCCTTCCCCCGTTTCCCTCTTTCCTTCTTATTCCTCTTCTTTCTTTCCTTTTATATTTTCTTTCCCTTTCCCTTCTCTCTCTTATTTATTTTTGGCGGGGGGGGGGGAAGCAAGAGCCCTTCGCCCTTCCCCTGTTTCCCTCTTACTCCTCTTCTTTCTTTCCCTTTCCCTTCTCTCTCTCTCTCTCTCTCTCTCTCTCTCTTTATTTTTTTGGCGGGGGGGGGGAGGTAAGAGCCTTTCGCCCTTCCCCCGTTTCCCTCTTTCCTTCTTCCTCTTCTTTCTTTCCTTTTATATTTTCTTTCCCTTTCCCTTTCCCTTCTCTCTCTCCTTATTTATTTTTTGGCGGGGGGGGGGAGTGAGGAGGAGGCAAGAGCCCTTCGCCCCCCGTTTCCCTCTTTTCTTCTTATTATTCTTTCTTTCCTTTATCTTCTCTTTCCCTTTCCCTTTTTTCCTTCTCTCTGTCTCCCCTAGCTAGGGCTGGTTTTGTTTACGAAGCGCCCGTCAGGAGAGTACACGATAGAGTACACGATAGAGTACACGATAAAATTGACAATATCGTGAACTTTATATCGTGAACTTTTCACGATAAAATTCACGATATCGTCAATTTCATCGTGAAAAGTTCACGATAAAGTTCACGATATCGTCAATTTCGTGAATTCCTTCGTGAAAAATATGCGATAAAATTGACGATATCGTGAATTTTATCGCATATTTTTCACGATTTAGTCTATTCGCGATGTCCCTTCAGGGCCACCATATATATATAATAGAAACAAGCTTACATTCCGTCATCATATCTCATATAGCCACGTTGAGCTATTCCTCCAGTTAATCCCACTATTACAGCTGGTACACCTGCAAGTAAACAAAAAACATTATAACAAAAACGATTTTAAAAAAGTGGCAACTACAAAGTCAATTCTATCAATACGAGACGTTAGTAATAATTCATCACAATAGTATCCAGAACTGCCTGATGTACCTTCACGCTTGCTCGACAGAATGGATGCATACATTAATTGGACCGTTACGATCAACATTCTTATACTTTGTTGGTAATTTGCTAGGCAAGTCCAAGCGACTTTATTTTAAAGGGCCCATGACATCGAAATACAAGTGTATTCCTGTTGGTGTGCAGTCCTGCATACATCTCATATTTTGATATGTAAACTTCTGAATTTGTTTCATAGATTTTTAAATATTTTTTGAAATATTTGTTTTTCAAACTTGCTAAGCTCCACCCTCAAAACCTCCAGATCTCATTCCCCTTGTGACATCATCTGTCAGTCATCAATGAGCTAACTTGAGAAAGTGGTATGTATCTTTGCCGAAGTCGACCACCTGTTACAATACGTAATACAATAGCAACATACAAGTTGCTATGTCAGACATGCTGTAGCATCACCAGGAAGACAAAGGCAATGATGATGTATTGTACAATTATGTATGGAAGCACGCAATTCTATTATGAACGTGTGCTAAGATGGGGGAAATTACATACCATTGTCTATTACCTAGAATATTAGTTTAGTCTGACATGTCTGACATAGCAACTTATTTGTTGCTATTGTTTGTGGTATTGTAACAAGTGGTCAACTTTGGCAAAGTTACATGCCACTTTCTCAAGTTAGCTCATTGATGACTAACAGATGATGTCATAAGGTGAATGAGATCTGGAGGTTTTGGGGGTGGAGCTTAGCAAGTTTGAAAAACAAATGTTTAAAAAATATTTAAAAATCTATGAAACAAATCCAGAAGTATATCAAAATATGAGATATATGCAGGACTGCACACCAACAAGAATACACTTGTATTTCGATGTCATGGGCCCTTTAAGTGATTTGAAATATTAATCACAGGGTTGGTCAAGATCATAGCTTTTGTTTTTAGTGATTCTACACTGTTGCTCATAACGGTGGAATATTTTTTTTTATCCCAATTTATGGAATTATTTTAAAAATAATTTTAAAATACTAGATCTAGATAATAGTATACAGTCTCAGATTTTATTGAATAATAATTTGCCAATATGTGTTTTGCGTGACTGCTAAAGCATGTATATTATGCTACTATGTTTATTAACTAGGGGACCTATGCCCTTAAGTCATAAATGACAGTAATGAGGATTAATGCCTCACAAAAGGGCACTAATATAGCACATCGACACGGTGTTGATCCTGGGGCCTCACAGTTACGAGGCCATTGCTTTGTCACTGAACCATGACTGTACGCAGCGGGGGCTATGGTAGGGGGCAGTTTCCATAAATTTAAAAAAAAACAGAAAATGCAATAAATTTTCAATAATTTATTGCATTCTACCCGGTCCCCAACATAAAAAAAATCTTCTGTGTGCCCATGCCTTGAGCCATAATAAATGAGCAACAGTGTAATATGATCCAAAACCAAATCGATAATCTCGGTTCCCCTAACATCCTTCATAGCTGTGGTATTCAGATTCTGTCCGTTTTCATATATTTTTTATTTCTCTTTTTTTTTAAATTTCTTCCTCCCTTACATGCATCATGTAGATCGCGCGAACTGAAAAATAAAATACGATCAAGAGGACCACCCCCCCCCCTCAAAAACGCAACAATAAAAAAAATCTTCTGTGTGCCCATGCCTTGAGCCATAATAAATGCCCTAGCCTAGCCCCCGCTGCGTACAGTCATGGTTCAGTGACAAAGCAATGGCCTCGTAACTGTGAGGCCCCAGGATCAACACCGTGTCGATGTGCTATATCAGAGCCCTTTTGTGAGGCATTAATCCTCATTACTGTCATTTATGACTTAAGGGCATAGGTCCCCTAGTTGATAAACATAGTAGCATAATATACATGCTTTAGCAGTCACGCAAAACACATATTGGCAAATTATTATTCAATAAAATCTGAGACTGTATACTATTATCTAGATCTAGTATTTTAAAATTATTTTTAAAATAATTCCATAAATTGGGATAAAAAAAAATATTCCACCGTTATGAGCAACAGTGTAATATGATCCAAAACCAAATCGATAATCTCGGTTCCCCTAACATCCTTCATAGCTGTGGTATTCAGATTCTGTCCGTTTTCATATATTTTTTATTTCTCTTTTTTTTAAAATTTCTTCCTCCCTTACATGCATCATGTAGATCGCGCGAACTGAAAAATAAAATACGATCAAGAGGACCACCCCCCCCCCCCCTCAAAAACGCAACAATGGGTTATTAATTTTTTTTTTGGACAAGTCTTTTCATCATTAATGTTCTCCTTCATAATGGTTATTTCTTTACAGAAATTCTTCAAATAATACAAGGACAATCGTAAAGGCTCGTAAAGGCATAAACATGCATCAGATATCAACAGCTGATGGCACAGTAATAGGGATCAAAATCAAAACGAAATACAATATTTCCTCTTTTTTTTTAATATAGACTATTTTTTGGCCAACACGCTTTGAGTTGGACACAACATGGCGATTCCTGCTTTTTTGGGCAGGCACACTTTGAAGAATGTACGCCATGTTATGACCAACTGAAATGAAGTTGGCCAAACGCTGTGTATACATGTATAGTTGGCTCAAAAAAGCACCTCCGTTCACTGGAGAGTCCAAAAATAGAAAATTATTGAAATAATTATTACACCCGTTCGCGTTTTACCAACAAGACTGTGATCGATTTCTGAGATGTTCATTATGTTCACCTAATGTCTAACTTCAATATCGTTGTATGGACAGACTCTGTCAATACTGGTTTTGATTTCAATCATTAAAATCGATTGAAATAAACCAACATTTATTTCGTTCGACCGACGATCGACAGCACTTGATACGAACATGTGTGTTGTCTGTCATTTAAATATACCGATGACGGCATACAGCATATGGCGGCCTGTGCTTCAAACAATCCCCCTTCCCTTAAAAAAATGAAAGTGGTGTCGTAAGCTTCCTGGTCGTGATTGTGTATCAGATCACCAGTGGATAAGAAGGTAGCAACTAAATTCAAATAATGTAGGTTGGAGTCCAGCTGGATTCATCATTGCAATGATAATAATATTGGCTTGTTATTTAGCTGTCGTATCTACCTCTCAAAGTGCCCAAGATTGATACGCTCAATTATTACATCCCTGCTTTAGCATGTTTAATTAATAGCGTAGGTGATACCGTTTCGATGCTCACAACGTTCAACCACACTAAATGTGTATTGTACATGTATCTCAGGTTTGCCCTAAAGGACCTCGTAAATCATCGATCTGAAACAAACTTCCTGTTAGACATTAAAACAAATATGTTTTCAGACTTTTAAAAAATCAATGATTTCCTAGTTTTATATTAAAAGTTTACTCTTGAGTCGTAACTATGGAGATTTGTCATTTTTTGGCGTATGCTTATTGTTTGTATATAATCATATTTCACCTCACAGCATCAGTCAAATTGATCAGTACGTGTGAACAGATTCATTAAAATTCACATAAAAATACAAATCTCAGACATTTCTCCGCCTCTAAAAATAATTTCTAGACCACTGTAATCTCCGAAATCAATCACTTATTTTAAGTCTCATTAAATCATAGTCTGGTCGTTCTCCTAAAAAGAAAAAAATTCGTACACGTAAAAGGGTAGACAATTATGATTAAAAGTCAATGGGTAGAGATGGATATCGATGTCAGATTGCATTGAGTATTGGATTACCATTTATGAAAGAAGTGTTATTCTAACAGACTCCATCAAAAATGGGACACAATATCAAAGACTTTTTTTAAAGTGTACGTCTTCCAAACGAATTTTGTATCATAGGTTGGATTATAATTTCAAAAATATGATGGTTTTAGACCCACCTAACGTAAAGACACCTGCCTTGATCATGAAATTTCGAATGCCACCCCGGTCAAAAATCTTGATGACCAAGAGGTACATATTGAAACTTTCCACAGCCATCCAAGCGAGTGAAGAGAGGAGAGAGAAGTGAAGAAACCCTACGATGATACCACATGTTGTCATGGTAACGGTCTTGAGAGATGCGAGAATGATGAAAAAGATGTAGAGACACAGGAGTGATATGCAGAGGCACATTAGGATCCGACTAGGCTGAGGATTTCTCAACTTTCTGTAACGATAATGCAAGGACAAGAAAGGTAATTCAGACGTATATACATTGTGACATGTGAATCCTATTTTATTTCTGTTGGAGGAAAAAATTGCGTTAGAATCGAACAATAAGTTGCTAATTTATATCATTTTGTTACATAATAATGGTATTCATGCTAAAGGATAAAGGTTACTGCGTGCCCCGAAAGTGACCTGATGGAGAGGAAGACTTTGGAAGAAATCATATTAACGATTAAATTTCACAATTGAGAAAGGTGTAAGGCAAGGATGCCCACTATCAGCATTGTTATTTATTATTACTGCAGAAATCTTAGCGTTAAAGGTGAATCAAAATAAAGATATTAAAGGTATACAAGTTCTAGATAAAAATCATGAAGGACTTGAAACAGAAATTAAAATTGCACAATATGCAGACGACACGGTAATGACACTCAGTTCACTTGCGTCAGTGAGACATGCAATGGACGAAATAAAAAAAATTGGCAGATATGCTGGTATTTTGGTGAATTGGGATAAATCGAAAATAATGCAGCTTTCACAAAGATGTGATGCAAATGAAATTGAAGGATTGGCTTTTTCAAACGATCCATTTAAATTTCTTGGGATTTATGTAGGGATGAATATAAAAGAAGTAGAAACACTAAATTGGGAAGGAAAAATTGACAAGATTAAAAGAATTTTAGATTTGTGGAAAATGCGTCATCTGACGTACTACGGGAAAATCACAGTTATAAAGATGCTAGCTGCATCACAAATAGTATATGTGGCTACTGCTGTTCCAGCACCCAAAGATGCCATCAAAAGAATTAATAAGTTATTATACTCCTTTTTGTGGCGCTCAAAAACAGAAAAAATAAGAAGAAATATTTGTATTAATGATGTTACAAGTGGGGGGTTGGGAATGATTGATCTGGAAGCTAGAGTTAGTGCATTGCGTCTTTCATGGATAATGAAATATTTGAACTGTCAAAATACCTCATGGAAAACATTGTTTTCCTATTGGATTGACAAGGTTGGGGGAATACCCTTAAGTTTAGAATTTAACTGTCACAAGAAAGACATGGAAAAATTATGTAAAACAGCAAATTTGCCATATTTTTACTTTGATTTGCTTTGTACATGGTCTGAACTAAAATATGTAAATATTGAGGGGACGAATAACATAATGAGAACGATACTATGGAATAATAGTAATATTAAAATAAGGAACCGAATGCTTCATTTTAAGGTGTGGGAGAGAGGAGGAATAAAAAGAGTACACCATGTTCTTAATGACGGTCGATGGAAAAACTCTGACGAAACTGCCCAAAGATATGGGTTACCCAAAATGTTATTTGCTTTTAAGTTTGCTATGTTAAAAAAGGCTTTCCCCTTGGTATGGTTGCGTAAATCACAAGATGTAGAACGTGATGAAGTAATTGATTTACAGACCATTGAGATTTCGACAGGGGATATGATAGATTTGTCAAAACTTAATACGAAAATAATATATTTACTGATTGTGCAAAATATAAGAAAAAACCATATATTTTAAACGCATGGCAACAACGACTACACTTACATGCGGATTTTAATTGGTCATCTGTTCTACAGTTTAAATTTCATGTTGTACGGAATAATAAAATCAGAGAATTTAACTTTAAACTTTTGCATATGATTTTACCATCACGATACAATTTATGCAAATGGAAGATCTTAGATTATAATACATGTGAGATATGTAATACGCTAGAAACCACTAAGCATATGATGTTGGAGTGTGAAAACGTAAGATTGTTTTGGAGAATTGTTTCAGGTGTAATCTTCAATTTATGTGGTCTAAATATTCAGATGACTGAACAGATTTTAATACTTGGTTATGAAGTTGAAAACTCAATTTGTCATTTAGTAAATTTAATAATAAATTTTGCTGAGTATGTAATATATAGAAACCACATAAAGAATTTACAATCATTTAATAGAACACATGCGAGAACTCTATATCGTAGTCTTAAATATGAGTTGACATTTTATTTGAACTGTAAAAGTATTAAAAGAGAAAATAACAATATGGTACAGAAATTAATTGAGATGCTGTAGACAACGAAAACAGATGTACTCATGAACAAACTAATGGGACGTTGCAATATTTTATTTGTTTATGATTGTATATGAGTTGAATTTGTTTATTTGAAGGAAAAGAAACAAAAAGGAATGTCAATTTGAATAATAAAGTTCCTCTGATTGAGGTTAAAGAGAAAAAAAAATATTAACGATTAGGTATTTTATCTAGATATGACATCTACTCAGAATATATTTTGAATAGCCTTAGTCTTTCTGCCAGAGAAAATACTCTATCGACAGCGAATCTGGACGTTGTCTGTCAATTTTGCACGACTGTTCCCGAGTAGTACTGTAGTCGATTTGAGTCAATTGCTTTGATTTAGACGGTTAACAGTAGCTTGAAATGTCGATTATAACATGTAATGATTCCTTATGGAATTTTAGAACCCAATCAGAAAGATGACACTTTTTTCTCTCATCGAAATGAACCTTGACTTCCTCATCTGTTGTGAAAGAATGAACAAAAATGAATCATTCAGAAAATGACATACCTGACGGATAGAAATGTTACGATGGTGACAAATAGGAAGAATATAGAGAGGGAGCATCCGGCATAACTCAACACGTCAAGGATGTACGTCCACTTATCATTTAATGTCGACCCTCCGTAGATGTCCTGAGATGAGGAGGAGGAAGACGTCGAGGACGAGGAAAGCGAGGAGGAGGATAAGGAGGGAAGAAAGAAGAAGAGGAATGTCAAGCAATTTATGTAAATATTAATCAACTACCTTGAATTCCTAAACATTCGAAGTGCTTCAAAGATTAAAAACAACCCCCCCCCCCCAAAAAAAAAAGAAAAAGAAAAAAGGAGAGAGTAGGGAGAAGGTGTAGCAAAGATTGGTTACATCCAACTTAGGACTGAAAAACTTCAACTCTAATATATACCCGAGGACTTGATTTTCTCATCAAACTTTGTCATAGGTTTATTAGCAAAATGATTATAAACTGATAAAAGCGATAATAAAGATGCGAATGTACGTGCATACCATGAGGACGGCGAAGTTGGTAAGATGGTTGCACTGGCATAGGAGCTCGTCACCAGTATCATTGTCGATTGCTACCAGCTGACATCCGTCTGTTGACCAGTTTCCATAGCCGTCATCAGCATCGAAGTCCCAGAAGACACATACCGGGTTGGTTACGTCGACAAGGGTATCATTGTAGGTGTTCTGATCGTAAGAAGAAAGAACAACAAATAGAAAGAATGATAACAGGAAAGATAGAAAGTGGATATGTTAAAAAAATAAAGATAAGGAAATACATAGTAAACATTAATAAAGAAAGAACGAAAAAGTAAATAATTATAAGGAAAGATAGAGAAGAATTGAGTCAGGTCACCGCTTGGACATGCGCAGTGCGGACCTTCGAACCCATCGCTTGTTCGCTCGCGAGATTATGCTTCAAACACCTTCAGGATTGGTTATTTCCTTTTAGTAAGATTTAATCGGTTCCAAAGCGACCTCACAAGTCATAAAATATTTATTCGCTCGCTTTGCTCTCTCCAAAATGATTCTTCAGACGATCACAAACAACTGCAAAATATAATGCTGAACCAGTATAGCGAGCCACGTAAAGAGAAAAAAGAAGAAAAAATATTGAACATTATTGGTGATAATTTATTATGTTCAGGGTTGAAGTATATACCAATATTCAGAATTGTATTTTGGCTTTGAGGTTTCCCTTTGTAGGTGCCCCTTTTCCAGAAAGTGCCTTTTTTGCTGGTGCATCCCACTTTTAGAAGATGCCATGTCGCCTCTGCAAATCTCATATATAGACCTGTTACACCGGCAAATCGACTTCAAATCTCATACGCCGGATGGACACACCGTCAGACCGAATCCAAATCTAACCGCTCGATGGCGGTCAAATCTTGGTCATTCACGGGTAGGTAAGTGTATGGTATTGGTCTTGTCGATCTTGTCGGTATGACTAAGGCATCGGATATCGGAAGGGGGGCTACGAAAGCTCCATCATATACCTCTCGAGAACTTTAATAAGAATGTTGATGAGGGTTCAACTTCGATGGAGAGTTTCATTTATAAATACATTGCAATACAAATCTTAAGCCTCATCCGGATAGTTTAAATGTAGTGCCTACCGTATCGTTTGTAACAGTTATTGGCATGTATGATGTCAAGACAGGTTCAGAAAGGTTTGTGACCTTCATCCCACCAATGGATGCAGAGATGATACGAGTATTCGATGTTCGGTTATATGGCTTGCCCTTATTGGAGGCAAGCAACGACCGAGAAGGAAACAGCGAAGTTGTCCGATAAAGCACGAATGATACCCGAGTGTTGTTGTTGCCTCGAATCGCCTTCCCGATTGATGGTGGTAGAAAGAGTTGAGCTTGAACCGGGTTTGTTTCCATGGTCGTACTCGAGCTGTCATTCTTGCCCTTGTAGACGATCATGTGTTCGGGCAAGAGTTCTCCACTCGGATCGTTGGTCGCATACACAAAAGTCAGACCTTCCGTCAGTTCTTCAGGTGGATATTCACTAACCTGTTACCAGGGTAATAGGCAAAATGATAGAAGGAAAAGGATATGCAAATATAAAGAAAAGAAGGGCTTTCATTTGCAGTGACCCCCCCCCCCCCCCCCCCCAAAAAAAAAAAAAAAAAAAAAAAAAACATCAATCGCGCTACTCTGTACAGTTTTCTCGTCAGTGCTTATTGCAAATTTAATAATTACTGCTTTCATATGAAAATGCCTTTCTTGTATGTCGGCGCTATAAAGAGTCATTACACTTTATTACACTTTTGTAATTCTCGTCATTCCTCCTATGAAAACAAACAAGCGTACCTTGTAACCAGGGAAACGGATGATAACTAATGTGTATTTATAAAGTTTGGAAATATCTTTCTATTGTGGGTGTTCACAATCATTTTTTTTTTTTTTTTTTACAATTGATCAGTTGACACTCATTAAACTACACAATTTCACAACATTTTAAGATTGTTACTTAATTACAGGTGTATGATGATGGTCTATGGGACATGAAGCTATGTACATTTCAACTTCCCTGGCCTGTAACCACGGTAACTTCACATGACAATGTAAAACGTAGATTTTGTTTCGCTTATTTCAAATTTGTCAACAGGACCTCTAAGACTTTCGAGAAATCAACGCGAGGACAATAATATTAATACCCCAATGTATATATTCCATAGAAATAAAGTTCTGATTGCTATGTATTGTTCCTACATCAAAATAGGTAGAGGACAAGGCTATTGAAATTGATTGATTTCCGGAAGTTTTTACAATTGTGTTCTGCCCAACTCTTGACGAATTAGTAAATAATTAAACATTTAAAGAAGAAATAAAAAGAAAAAACGCTCAGTGAACTGAACTAAACTGAGCTAAAAATAATTAGTAAGTACATCTGTAAATCAACAATCGACTTGAAAACAAACCTGGACTCCGAGGTTTGGCTGAACATCTGTGTAAGTTCCATTGGAAGCTGAAACATTGACGAATTGAAGCTGAGATTCCAAAGACTGTACGGCCATGTTAGTAGCACCTTCATTAGCTGCAGCTTCTAGCTGAGCTTCATCAACATTCATTAGATTGTTGATTGTTGACACAACAGCACCAGTTACCTTGACAACATACATGAACGATTGTCAGGTAACTCATTGGTAAAAGGTCGAGTCCCGGGTCCCAAGCAATACCATGTTCGATTGTATTATGAACATAAATTGACATAAAAAGTACCAATTTAATTGATGTCCCGTCTGATCCAAGCACTAGTATGGTATTCAAAGTGATATTCAGATATACCAGAACCTTGGGTGTGGTTGGTAACCATAGTAGTATGTATTGGACAAGATCGAGTTTGGACTTGCCAAATAATCTCCTATTATACCACTTTGTACACTCTCTTATAGTCTATTAAGGGCAAGAAGCAGTAAGGACAGCGAAATCAAACAAAACAATGAAGAAGATGTTGAAAGGAGATGGAGGAAGGGGGTGGGAAGAAATGGAGGAGTAGGAGCGATGGGGAGGGGAGGAGGAGTGGAGGAGGAGGAAGGAGGTAGCGGAGGAGGAGTATGGTTAAAGCCGGAGTAAGATGAGGAGAGTGAAGGGAAGGGGGTGGAGAGGGATGTAGAGGAGGAGGAGGAGGAGGAGGAGGAGGAGGAGAAATAGGCAGATATCAATTTACATTACACCGAAGTTAAAAACTGTTAAGTGCAAAAAAGTCCAAACTACATTTCAGGCAGACACTCCTCCATACAGTCCAATCCAATCCAATACAAAAAAAATGTATTTAGTGTATGATTATGTTCCAGGTTCAATACAAACCACTTAGAAAATAATTCAATACGATGATGAAAATATAACAGTCTGTGTTCTCTCATTTAATGAATGGGCGTTGAAAGGTTTGTTGAAAACCGTCCGCAGATAAAGATATAAGTACTGTTTAGCAAGCAAAAAGCTGATGAAAAAAAGGACTTTCAAGTATAATCTCAACTAGGTCTAGGCCCTTTGCCACTGACCCCAAAATCTTGAAATCTACCGTTTTTTTTTAAAGAAAAAGAAAATATTAAATCATTCAAAAACTAAGAAATATCAGCCCAAAGGCAAATCACGACCCCCCCCCCCCCCATTGCATTGCATACCTCAGGTTCTGATGAGTTTAGCGCGGTGATGTTTCCTAAGATCTCAGCAGTGGTTTCCACTCCATCAGATGTAAGGTCTTCGGAGTCTTCGGTGAGTTCAGCAAGGTTCTTCGAGATTTCCTCTACATTCTCCTCGGTAACTGGGGTCTGTAATGATTGGTTATTATCTAGTATTAGTGATGTTTTTATTCATTGGTAATGCCATTTCGATTTATTGAAAGAATACCATTAAATGTTGTGACCATTTCCTCAAATCTCTAAATTTAACTTTCTGACTTTGTTTTAAAACTGATCAGCTTGGCTAACTAAAGCCGGGAACAACCAACCCCGCCCTGATTTACCTGCCTACCCTGAAAAATACCAAGATCAAATTATAAGGGGACATACTTTTTCTTCAGAGGTTTTTGTTGTCTGGAGATAATTGTCATTGGAGGTTTTCAGATTCTGGACTACGGTTTGCCGTGAAACCTGTGAGAAAGTGTATTATAATGTCTTCGTTTTTAGGAAAATTGACACAAAACAGGTAAAAACATAACGTCTTTTAAATCATGACCATTATTTGAACAATTGATGAATATTTAGTTGATTTTTGGAACGTTTTAGTAGGGTATCTCCACGCCAGAGTTACGGTCAAAGTCTGGATATGATTCTGAACTAGCACAATATGTTTTACCTTTTTTTGATGAAGTGATCGTGAGAATAATATTACCTCTTGAAAGACAAGATTTGTACGAGCTCATAACCTTATTGATCAATCTAATTAGTCTGAGAGATTATCAAGAATGTCGCAATCACCGCATGTGAAAAGATAAGAAAATATTATTCAAACATTTCTGGGCAGCAGTGCCTTTGTTCAGTTCATTCTTAGTTTACCTCCCCCACCCCTTACATACACATAATTATGGTCATAATTATGGTCACACATAATTATGGTCATGCACTGTCAATAATAATTATGACGCAAATTAAATACATAAAATCATGAACCTTTGCCCAGTATTAATCAGGTAAGAGTACTTATCGACCATCATTAACAAGTAAGGCATTTGATAAGGGGTCTTAACCTCAAATCCGTAGATTTCATATCAGTCATCGTTTCATTAATTTTTTAACAAACCATTGTGGGTCCAGGAATTTGTTTTCTTTCTTTTCTATATCCATGTTATTAACGTGTTACATATTATTTGTAGGTTCTTTTAATACACTATGACCAAAACGTCGAGTGTGTGTTAGGATAGTGTGAATGGATCTATTTACAGCGTGCTACCTTCTCCTACAATTCATCGAAAAAAGAAACGACGAGAATCTGTGCAGATAAGATTGAAAGGGAGAAAAATCTGTTTTGTTTAGTAGCCCTGGTGGGTTCCTTATTTCACGAACATTTTGCGGATATTGGTAGTCAGAGTGAGTTTCGTGAGACGATAAACGGGTTGTTTTCAATAAGTACACTTTCGTGATTGCAATTGAAAGACAATGAACCTCTGTCCATTTTTCTATCCGCTTCCCTCCCTTCATTCATACCAAAATCTCTCTACTTCTTTCCTTCTCTTCCTCTCTCCCATTATAGCACAAGAGCGGCTGTATTTAGTGAACTTGGGGTTATTTAAAAGCTAGTGAATCGAGCAACGGAACAAGCATCATTTGGGCCAAATTTACTTTTACAGAACACTTTTGGACAAGTGCATTATTCAGTGCACTCTATATAATGAATGTATTTACTTATTTATTCTGCATTTTTTTATCTACATTTCTGTATGTTTAAGTATATTTCAGATTGATTATGGTTGAATTCCTATCAGCCATAATCAGCTTGTATCGACCTAGTTTCGCTATGTAAATAATGTAGCACATACCTGAACCTTGTTATCTATTCGCTTCATTTTTAAAACTTAATTTATTTTATGTTGTGCACGGAAGAATCTTAGCCTAGCTGAACGTATTTATGATGTGCATATAGTCTATGAGGATTACCCCCCCCCCCTCCAAACAAGAAGACAATTACCTCGCAATAAAAAAAATTAAAATCCGTTGTTTTTTTTTGGAGAATTTTTCGGGGGGGGGCAAACTTTTCACTTGCCTAAGCAAATGCACAAATAATTACTCCAGTATTATTAGTATTATCATAATTATTATTACATTCCGGGAATAACTTTCTCATAGAAAATACTCCCTCGTTGATTCTTTCAAAATAATGATAATTTAACTAATTAGTTAATTAGTATGCTATCATTAATTTTTGTAAATGAAGGCATACCCCTTTGAGCTCTTTCAGATCATCATCGACGTTCCGTTTTTCAGTCGTCATACGAATTTCTGATGTGGTTTCAGTCGTAATGGTTGTTGAATGCGTCGTTGAATCGAGTGTGGCGGTCGTTGACATGGGCATGGACACAGAAGTTGAAGGTTTGGTCACAGTAACAGTATCGCGGTAGGTAGTTGTGTCCTCCTGAGAGCCTGTTGCCGACGATGACGTCGGCAGCGGTAACGACGTTGATGGCAATGGTGATGATGATGGTGTAGGTGGTGACGTCGGCAGCGGTGACGACGTTGACGGCAATGGTGATGATGATGGTGTAGGTGGTGACGCCGGCAGCGGTAACGACGTTGATGGCAATGGCGATGATGATGGTGTAGATGCTGACGTCGGCTGCGGTGACGACGTTGATGGCAATGGTGATGATGATGGTGTAGGTGGTGACGTTGGCAGCGGTGACGACGTTGATGGCAATGGTGATGATGATGGTGTAGGTGGTGACGTCGGCAGCGGTGACGACGTTGATGGCAATGGTAATGATGATGGTGTAGGTGTCGGCAGCGGTGACGACGTTGATGGAAATGGTGATGATGATGGTGTAGGTGGTGACGTCGGCAGCGGTGACGATGTTGATGGCAATGGTGATGATGATGGTGTAGGTAATGACGTTGGCAGCGGTGACGTTGATGGCAATGGTGATGATGATGGTGTAGGTGGTGACGTCGGCAGCGGTGACGACGTTGATGGCAATGGTGATGATGATGGTGGTGGCGGCGACGGCGGCAACGCTGTGTTGATATACGGAGGAGACGTACTTGGTTGATGAGGTACATTCGTAGATAACTTATCAGTTCTTACCGGTATATCGCTTGTTGTTATGTCTGGAGAAACAGTTGCCGATGCAGGTGATATAATTTTCGTAATGACGATAATAACCTCAGTGGATGAGGTTGCCGGTGCTCCCAATGAATCAGTGGTCATTCCAACTGAGGTGCCATGCACTGTTGCATCCAGGTTTTGGGTGGTTTTTAAATCGGACGTACCAATAGTTGTTGCTCCTGCTTCTGTAGTAGTTTGGGTATTCACCACGTAATAAGAGAGTATCATGATCACAAATATGGGCGCCATTTCAGAATATGTACATGTAAGTTTCCTTGATGCCAATTGCAATACATCCGATCCTTGAAAGTATTTGCAAATAATGACTGTAAATCCGAGGATAATATCCATTTTATACAATATACTGCGGCATATAAATGCAAATAATGAATTACACTTAAAGACCTTTTAATGGGACCAAAGTCAAATCATAATTGCTTCCCGTTTGGTATGCGAGAGTTTTTGTTTATAGTAGCCATGCATGATGTGATAGAAGCGAGGATGGGAGAAGAGGGGGGGGGGGCGGGGACAACCCCTCAAGTCCCCCAAAACTAGATAATGTGCCCCTTCCAAATGATCAAGTACCCCTACCGTAATGGAAAGTAATGGCCTTCCTGAATTGAAATGATTCTTGTTCGGTCTTCATGATTTTTAATAACTTTCTCTCTCTCTCTCAAGAAAAAGTAACGTGCCCCTTTTTTAATAAATGAGAAGACATTCGTTTGCATTTGTGTTTAGTCAATAACAGTTTATGGTCAAAAACAATTTCCCCCGTAAATAACAATTCACGTGACATTGTGAGTTTGCTATTCTTTTAACACAATGCCATACAATATAATTTTGCCTCAAAGCACTGTTTTAAGACGAGGACAAAAATAATGTTGCCATTAGCCAGAAAGTCTTGTTATAAAAACAGTTACTCCATAAAGGTGAAACGCAAATGCAAGGTACTAACGGCACTCTCTCGGGAAACTGGTGACAGTTTCAAACCGGCGAGGACAAGCCAGGACGGGTGTGAACCACTAGACCCTGCAGGCTGCAGTGACTTGTCGAAGGATGTCGGCAGATCTGTATCGTCAATCGCCCTCAATGCTGTCACGATGGCATGGTTTTCTGTTAGGGTTTGCTCTCTTAGCCTTATATTCTAAAGAGAACCTGAACCATAAGGCAATGGTATACAACTATGCATGTTACATGTATTATGGGTATATCAAGCCCGAGAAGAGCAGACAATTTCCCATCTCAGAATGGGCATTTTCTTCTTTGCAGGGATCGAGGGGCCTACACACAGCCCATGTTTGGTTATTTCCAGAAATAATTACCGCCTGGTCGCATGCTACCTCGTTTTTAATTTGTTCTTGATTCATAAAGTTTACATCTTCTCGGAACTTTATAGATCGAATTAAAAGAGTCATAGAGATGGCTAAATAAAGTTCTGAGAAGATATAAACGTTATCAATCAAGAATAAACCACACTCTTACAATCAAGAGGTAAACAAAAAGTAGTCAATTTTTCGGCAACCGTGTACGCAGGACTAGGCCTACACCTACATAACAAACATGACAAGTAGCAAATAATCAGCATTATGATTGCAGAACCCTCAGAGAAAACAGTATCAGTACTGCTGACGCTACCCTGGATGAACAGGATGTATTTATTATATTTATTAGTAATATTATAAGAGTTGTAGAATGCAAACTTCCCAATTCAGTATAGAAGATCTATAAACCTTCGCGTCGGTATAACAAAGGCACGGATTCCACTGTGTGTTTACAGGAGCTAGACGTTCAAATAGGGTTAATCCTAGAAATGCATGCTTAAGAACCCTCTCCCTGAAAAATGTTCAAGAGATTGTCTCCGCCCCCCCCCCCCCCCGAAATGTAGAAAACTGTCAAAGATTGTCGAACTGATGATTTTACGCAGTCTAATACATTAAGAGAGCAGAGCAAATGTGTGGATATGAAGTCGGACATCGACATTCAAGATTGATCAATTAAACAATGTTAAAAGTGCTGTATGAAAAGGGCCACATTACAAATTGCAAAAAAAAATTCTCAGTTAAGTCGCTCAGTGAACACAGAAATTAGGATACACCAATTAAGAAGGTTGCTATAATGAATAGGTTTTTTTATGCTGAAAAATACAAAATCCTATAATAATTGCAGGGTTGGGGTCTGTAACTCACCCTTTTTCCGTTTACTCGCAAAACTTTCTCGATTGCAGAATCCCCGTCCCTTTGGTTATGAACAAAATAGCCGCCTTATTCACTAACATATCCCATGAAATCAAGCAATCAAATAATGTTATGGAATATAGAGTTTAAAAAATAGATATTATCTTTTCAAATTGTTTAATTAATACGCTATGCAGCATTGGTTGAGACAGCTATGATAAGCTATAAAGGAGACGCAATGACTCGGCGGTAGAGCAGTGGTCTCGTAACCGGGAAGTCCCGGGTTCGAAACCAATTTGATGCGCTAGTGCCCTTTGGTAAGACATTAATCCTCATTACCAAGTTCCTTGGAGAGTATTTCAAGCCGTCGGTCCCCTGGTTGCTTACTTACGAGCATACAAATGATTTCCTATCAGTCAGGTAACACAAACAAACAAACCAAACTAAACCATGCTATCTTCCGGTTCCGAACATTTGTGCCCGCTTGTAGAAAAAAGGCTAGTTTTTAACCAACCATCAATGGGTAAGAACGCGATATTTCATTCACAATTACCTAAAAATGTCAAAGCATTGTATATTTTCAGACACTGAACTAAATCCAGTAAAAAATAGAAAGAAAATGGATGAGCGCACAGGCATTTGCACATGTCCTTTGCTTGCTCTCCAAAAAGAGCTCCTGATTGCTTGTTAATCTTATGCATTTGTACAATTTTATGTTACCATCTTTTTGTATTAGTACCCTGGAGACTACTAGACAAGTTGGAGTTCATAAAGTGTTGTTTTAATGTCATATTATGATGTATCAGTTTTTGGATATGGTTGTATCTCCAGTACTCTGGTAGCAATGTATTCCTGTAAGATATCGAAATTGGTTACCAGTACGCCAGAGAATAACATTCAAAATCTTGCTGATTGTATATAAAGCACTTCTTGGTCAAGCTCCCACTTATATAAAAAAAACTGTTGAATTTCAAACTTAATCAACACAATCGCAACTTGTGCAGTTCCCGAAATACTTTGCTGCTGCAGATCCCATCTATCAAAACAAAAGTAACGCTAGGTGATCGAGCATTTGCTTGTGCAGCCCCAAAACTCTGGAATAACTTGCCATTTAAAGTCAGGTAATCACCATCTGTGATTATCTTTAAATCAAAATTGAAAACACATCTTTTCAATTAACTGTAAATCTAAGCATATCAGGAGCTCTTGTAGCGCAGTAGAATATATACTTAATGTTGGATAGTTTCTGCGCTCTATAAATTATTATTATTAAATGAGGTGAGATAGTAAAATCCGCAGCTTAAGGTAAAACAATATAGGCATACCTCTTCAAGATCCTTCAGATCATCATCGACGTTCCGTCTTTCAGTCGTCATCCGAATCACCGATGTGGATTCAATCTTGGTGGTTGTTGAAGGAGTCGTTGACATAGGCGTTGTTTCTTTTGCTGGCGAGGACGCTGATGCAGTGGTGATCACTGTCGAAAACAATTGGGTTGTCGTTGGATCGGTAGTGGTGGTCGTTGGAAACAACGTTGTTCCTTTCGCTGGCGTGGATTCTGATGAAGTAGTGTCCTCTGTTGACATCGCTTCAGTCGTTTCAACGGTTGGATGATCCGTTGCGAATAGAGTGGTCAATGAAGTCATAATGGCATCAGTTACCAAGGTGATCCCGGTAATGAGAGGGCTATGATGTGTAGTCTCATCAAGAGTCGTCATAGATGCGTCCGTCGATACAGGATCTACCAATGTAGTCAACTCAGTAGCATAGTCAGTTTCGTTTGGAAAGCTAGATGTGATGACTTCGGTGGCATCAGGATCTACCAATGTAGTCAACTCAGTAGCATAGTCAGTTTCGTTTGGAAAGCTAGATGTGATGACTTCGGTGGCATTAACTGTCACTATTTCCGTGACAACATCAGTGACGTTTATCGTGACGATATCAGTTACATTCTCTGTAGCATCGATAGTGCTGAATTCTGTCGTAACTTCGCTGACAAATTCAGTGACATCAATTGTTTGAATTTCAGTGATAAAATCTGTGACAGTATCAGTGACGTTTATCGTTACGATATCAGTTACATTCTCTGTAGCATCGATAGTGCTGAATTCTGTCGTAATTTCGGTGACAAATTCAGTGACATTAATTGTTTGAATTTCAGTGATAAAATCTGTAACAAGATCGGTGACGTTTATCGTTCCACCATCTGTTGCAACTTCTGTAGCGTTGATGATGTCGGTATCTGTTACAAATTCTGTCACGATTTCTGTTACAACTTCTGTCACAATTTCAGTTGCATATATAGTTCCGATGTCAGTAATAAATTGCGTACTAGCATCGATCGTGCTTATATCTGTCGCGATATCTGTGGTAGTGTCAGTATTATTTACGTCATCTGTAACTGTCTCGAAATATGTAACGATCTCTGTTACGTTTACAATCTCGGTTATAAAGTCTGTACTGTTTATAATCCCAATACCTGTGGTAGCGTCTGTGACGGCATCCGTAGTTGTGGTAACATCACTTCTGTTCAATGTAACGTTAATGAATTCCGTTGTGATTTTCACATCGTTGGTCACAAAGTCAGTTGAAGAAGTCTGAGCTGTCGTAGATGCAGCTGTTGGGTTGTTATCGGTGAAGTTGCCAGTTTCTTTAGTTGTTTCTTCCGTTGTCTCCATATCTTGAGAGACCAATGGACTTGTTCCTATTCTTGACAAGGTCTGAGAAATTGAAGGTTCGTTTGCAGAAACAATATCGGTTGTTGTGTCCGTTTGGCTGCCATATATTGTTGTGACAACAAGATCTTGTGTGGTTTCGGAATCAGTGGTGTACATTGTGCCTGCTCTTGGACTGGTTACCGCATTTGTCACTTCACATGAGAGAATTAAAATCGCTAATATGATCGTCATTTCAGAAAATAACCAATTTCTCATTCTTGACGCCATTTTCGATGCACATGCCGACTCATGTGTGTTTACATGCAATGAACAATTTGCTGTAGATGGTGGTTATCTGAAATAAGATCCGTTTCATATTATATTGGTAGTACCAAACATCAGCGCGGTAAATGCAAATAATTTTTACTTCCGTAATCCCGCATTCTCTCTCTCTCTCTCTCTCTGTCTGTCTTTCTCTTTTTTTTCTCTCTCTCTCTCCATCTCACTGTATATATTTTTCATTTTCAGTTCCTTTTCAGAATGTACGTTATACCCTCCTCCCATCTCTTTATATACCTCTCCACAGTCCTCCACCCAATCCCTTACCCTCACCCCCCCCCCTCTCACCCCCCCCCCCTACTCACCTCTCTCTCTCTCTCTCTCTCTCTCTCTCTCTCTCTCTCTCTCTCTCAGAGACTCAATCACTCGATATTGAATGTTTGCTCTGAGTACATATCAACATTCTGGATGATAATCAATTCAGGGAGGAGCTCCTCGATTAAAATGACCGCTCTTGATATTGCACCGGTGCATATGGTGGGGCAAGTGTAACAGACATAGAAAATGGAAGGGGGTTTCAAGTTCAAAATTATTTCGTAGGCCGGCCTAGGGTTTATAGAGAGGGTAATGTGAATGGATCTACAGTCCACTGACATATCCACTCGACCACGACCAGTAGCGTGCGCAGGATTTTTTTTCGAGGGGAGGTTCTAAAATGTGAAAATCGCGCCGAAAATTTCGCAACGACTCAGCCAACCGCTGAATAAGCCGGGGGGGGGGGGGGGTGCGGGGTGGGGGTAAGAGAACATTCTTTTCTTTTTTTTGTTCTGGAATTTGGAAAATTATGCCGACTGATATTTCGTTCAGTAGGTAGGGGGGGGGGTAAGGTTATTTTTTTGGTCACCCTTTAGCACCCAATTCTTTCTTTTTTTCTTTCTTTTTTAATTGAGGGGGGGGGGGTACTCCTCCAGAACACACACATATCAAAAATTGAGGGGGGGGGGGTTCAACCCCCAAAAACACCTTCCTGTGAAGGCGCCTGTATACATGTGTATACTATTGCTGTCTTTCCCACCCGCGGATCCAGGGGGGTGTCGAGCGGGCCTTAACCCCCCCCCCCGACCAAAAAAAAAGAAGAAAAAGACGCCACTCCTGGCAACAACAAAAATAAAACAAACAAATTGTGACCAGAAATTTCCTTTTTTTGTTGCTCAAGGAAGGGGGGTGCGTTGATTTTTTTAACAGCGCTCACTCTGCCAGCACCCCCCCCCCCCCCCAATTAAAAAAATATCGGCCGGCACGATTTTCAAATTTCAGCACATTAAGTTCAAAATTGATTTTAAATGTTGGCCTCCCCCCCCCCTCCCCCCAATTATCAGAGACGTATGAAAAATTGAAAAAAAAAATGGAATTTCGGGTTTTTATATATATTTTTCATTTTGAGTTCCTGTTCAGAAATGTTTGTCTATACACTCCTTCTTTCCCTCTATCTTCATCTCCACCAAATTCAGTATCTCCTCCCTCTTTCTCTCCCCCTCCTTCGCTCTCCCTCTCTCTCTCTCTCTCTCTCTCTCTCTCTCTCTCTCTCCTCCCCTCTCTCTCTCTCTCTCTCCCCCCCTCTCCGTCTCAGAAGTACTCTGCATTCAATGTTTGCTACGAGTATACCAAATAATAATAATAATAGGCATTTCTATAGCGCCGTCTATCTAGAAATTCTATTCCGAGGCGCACTAATTATTACCCCGGCTTTAGACCATAACCGCCATTACAGCGCTCCAGCATTTCAAGGAATTAATTCATGCCAGGTTCCCATTTATCTCACCTGGGTCGAGTGTGGCAAATAAAGATTAATTCATTGCCAAAAGACAATAGTGCCGTGTCGGGAATCGAACCACGACCTTTGCTTAAACCACTTGACTACGACACTTCTACATGTCATGAACTCATATCAAATTCTAGATGATCATAAAATCCTCGATTAAAATGACTGCTCTTGATATTTCACCGGTTTATAAAGAGGGTAATGTAAATGGATTCGTCTAGATTCTTTTAAAGTTGGTTATAACTTAGAGGGTAATATAATTATATGATATACTTCTGGTCACCAACACCATAGGGGTTAGTGTCCGTTTTCTGAATTTCTGGAATTTTGGGTTTTTATATATATATTTCATTTTCAGTTCCTGTTCAGAAATGTTTGTTTATTTATACACTCCTTTTTTCTCTCTACATCTTCACCTCCACCAAATTCCTTATCTCCTCCCTCTTCCCCCTCCCTCTCTCTCTCTCTCTCTCTCTCTCTCTCTCTCTCTCTCTCTCTCTCTCCCTCTCTGTCTCAGAACACTCAGCATTCAATGTTTGCTATGAGTATACATGCCATGTACTCATTTCAAAATTCTAGATGATCATAAAATCATGGAGGTGCTCTTTGATTAAAATGACTGCTCTTGATATCGCACCGGTTTATAGAGAGGGTGATATAAATGGATTCTTAGAAGTGTGTGTATATATTAAAATTCAATTCCTGTTGTTGTATAAGTCTTTTTGATCAAAACACAAGGTAATGCTTAAAATAGTATACCGTTGGATCCGCCTTTGCCCCAGTACAATTATATCATGTACATGTAATAATATTTGATCACGACTGATAACTTCACGTTTAGAGGATATCTTATTGAGTCCATTATTTTCATGAAAAGAAACTCTGACATAGGCCCACTGTTTGGACATCATTCAATAAGTACAAGTCCACATGACGCCACATTGATAACAGCACAGGAAAAATGGATACCAGCGAATTCTTGGTTTTATTTGCACTTTGGCATTGACATAGTTCAGAGTAGTTATCTAGAATTTGTTTGATTTAAGATGTTGACCAAAAAATTATCAGAGTCGCGATGATAAATTTAAAAAAATGATAATAACACCACATAGGTAGAGAGATAGGAGTTGAGGAGACAGCCGCGGAGGAGGGACATCTTTGAGAAAGGAAGTGGCTCTGATTAAAAAAGAAAAGTAGCATTTATCAGAAGCAAAACGAGTACTTATTAGAAATACAAGGGGGCATGTGTCAAAATAAAAAAAATTCGCTTATGACAGGTGAGGTGAGAGGGACAAGGGTAAGGGGCACTTATTACAAAAGAAAAGGGCACTTGTTAAAGTAAAATGGGCACCTCTCAGATTTAAATAGGGGCAATAATCATCGGTGAAGGTAAAAGGTGGTAAGTGCCGTTTATAAGAATGTGGAACGGGCACCTATTAAACATAAAAAGGGGCACTTTTCTGAAGTAAAAGGGGACACTATTAAAGTAAAAGGGGTACCTTTCCAACGTAAAAAGGGGCACTTTGGGAGTACTTGAAAAGGTGGGGGCACTGTCGCTCCCGGGACATCCCGACCCTGGATAAACCGACTTGTCCAGGACGGGTAAGGTGTCACCCCGGACGACTCGACCAACTTTGTTTTTTTTTATGGTTTTATGAACTATATATCGTCACTTATTTCACTCTAAATTGAAATGAAAGTGATAAAATACATTCACACAAATATCATTTGACAAAATCATGACAAAAAATTGGATAATCACGGAGTAAATGTCCTACATAAACAATCCTACTTGACCATTTGTCAGCTCACTCAGTTGCATATCGACATAATTATAGCTCAAAGATTTTACAATATTTCCATCATTTTTTTGTTCATTTTTAAGGAACAAAAAGGTCCAGGGTTTTCCGGGGGCGGAATCCAAGCGAGTGTACCCGGAGGTCTTGGGGTAGATCCCCCGAACGCTCTTAAGTTTTATCAATTCAGAACCTTCTAGATAGCCGTCTTGAGAAATAAAAACACATATCCTCTCCTAATATCTGAGCTCTGTTTATGTTAATGTTTACTATTTGTACATCGATACTAATGAAAAAGTATTAGTTAAAGGAGATGACATTGATACCGAAAATATGATTATTATTTTATCGTCAGTTCAATTTACAATTTATAAGGTGTAACGGTTTTAAGTAAATAGAAACCCGAAAAAATTATTTCACTTATTATGTTTTTAGAATTTAAAAGATATCTGAAAGAAATTTTGGAATACCCGTAAAAATTTGACAACTTTAATAAACAACTTAAACAACTTAAACTACTTGGTTTGGTTTGGTTTGGTTTTATTTTCCGTATAAAAATTCAATACATACAAGAATACAATTTACAAATAATACAAATCAAGAATTAAAAAACGGCTGGAAAGCTCTATTCAGAGCCATTATTAAAGTGGCTCTGTTCTTCCTAGAGGTCCAGAAATAATCAAACATAGAAATAAAACACAAAATATTACAAAAATATAATATTACAAACGCACTATCTACAACCCCCTCCCAAACCCTCTATAACACATTATGAATACGACTGATACCATCCCTCCCCCCTCCCCGTTTACACCAAAAGTTTATACATCAAAATCTAGCATCGATTCATTTAGGCCCTGTCGAAATAAATTGAGTGTGTTCGGTCTACGTAAGTTAATCGGTAATTCATTATATAATTTAGATCCGCGATAAAAGAATGTTCGTTTACAATAATTAGTTTTAGGTTTGGGCAAGACTAAGTTATCGATGTTTCTTAGGGCATAATTGGTTTCTTTGTAAAAGAGATTATTCTGCATATAGTCTGGAGTTAAATTATGGAAAATCTTATACAGCATTATGTACATGTGCTGTTTACGTCTGGTTTTTAGGGATTCCCATTTTAAGAGGTCGTGAATTTGATATGTTGAAGTATGATTATGAGGATTTATCTTAAGGATTATCCTACCAGCCCTATTTTGAAGTTTTTGAAGTTGGTCCAGATAATTTTTTTGGGAGGATTGCCAAATAATGTCAGCATAATCAAAATGAGGAATGACTATTGATTGATAAATTAGATTAAGAAAAGATTCATTTAAAATGTGTCTCAGCCTTCCCAAAAAGCTTACCATCTTTCCTACTTTCTTAATTACTTCACATAAATGTAAGTCCCATTTTAATTCAGAGTCTATATTCATTCCTAAGTATTTAATGTTCTTAACCTGATTAATAACATTACTACCTAGTTTTAAGTTTAATGTTAGATGTTTATGAAGCATTGACTTCGTTCCCATTAACATAGATACTGTTTTTTCACAATTTATATAAAGTTTGTTTATATGGCACATCCAATCAGATAGCGAAATTAATTCATTATTAAGAACAGACTGTACAACAATAGGGTTTACATTTGAGAAATAAATAACTGTGTCATCTGCATATAAATGCAGATGACAATAATGAAAAGCATTAGCTAAATCATTGATGTAAATTAGAAATAAAATTGGACCAAGTATGGAGCCTTGAGGCATACCATACGTTAATATCAATTCATTTGAAGAAACATTATTTATCGAAGTAAACATTTTACGGTTAACCAAATATTCATAAAACCACTTATGCATTATACCATTTATACCAACATTAGACAATTTTCTCAAGAGAATTCTGTGATCGACCAAATCGAAGGCTTTTCGCAGATCGACAAAAAGTGCTCCTGTATATAAACCCTTATCAACTGATTGAAGCCAGTCGTCCCTAACCTTTGTAAGAGCGGTACAAGTAGAATGTTTCGGCCTGAATCCCGATTGATCTTTAGTTAAAATGTTGTTTTTTTGCAGAAATTGGATTAAGTGTTTTTGTACAATCTTTTCTAATATTTTGGAAAAACACGTTAATAAAGATATCGGTCTGTAATTATTGGCTAAAGCTTTATCACCCTTTTTATGTAGGGGGATGACCTTAGCCACCTTTCATCTGGAAGGGACTGTACCTTCAGACAATGACCTATTAATTAAATATGTGAGAGGTTTCACAATTTCCAGTCCACTTATTTCTCAAGTGTTTGTATTGTTTCCAGTAAACGTCTTGTTTTTCGTCTTTGCTTTACCTTTCATTTTATCACGATCTTTCATGAGCTTAAATATACATTCATTCAACCAAGGGGAGTGTTTTTTTGCGTACCCTTTTCTTCTTCAATGGCATGTATTTGTCTATTGTGTCTAAAAAGAGTACTTCCCATTTGTTTACAGCTTTATCGAGGTCAATACCTTCTTCTACCTCATCCCACTTCTGCGATCTAAGATCGGCATTCAACTTTTCAAAGTCTACCTCATGAGATTTTCTAAATGTTACATAATTTACAAAAGAATCATCATGATTGACCTGAGCTTTCCAGACTAAGTAACTCATATAATGATCACTCAAACCATTGTGTAAGACACCAAAAGAGCTTACTTTGTCTTGGCAAGTTGTTAACATGTGATCAATTAACGATGAGCACTCAGGCGTTACTCGAGTGTAAACAGATTTATTAATTTGACACAAACCATATATATCATTAATTTGTGAATATTTACGAGTATCGCAAGAAAGTGGAAGCTTGGCAATGTTATAATTAACATCGCCCATTAATATTATTGGAGTATTAAATCCTCCTAAATATAACAACAATTCTTCATAGGACTCCAGTAGACGTGTTTTATTTGGCGGTCGATACCAATTTATAAAAATAAAAGGCTTTGTATGCTTCAAACGAATCAGAATGCAAATAACTTCCAGTTGATCTACTGAACTAGGCACTATTAACTTTTCAAATGTAACATTCTCATGTACGTATATGGCAACTCCTCCACCTCTTCTATCTCTATCATTCCTAATAACATTGAAATGAGGTATACTTATTTCACTATCTGCAACTGAATCATCAAGCCTGGTTTCATTTAGAGCTAAAATGTGAATATCATTATTGCATAATATAGACCCAATTTCATCAAAATGCTTCAATAAGCTAACGATGTTCAAATGAACAAATTTGACACCTTTATCACATAATTTAGAGTATATTCTACTGGATTGATTACTTGTTTTATTAAAATGCCTATCCAGTTTCTGCTGTCGTTTACTTCTCTCCAATTCTGGTGGATGATTATGATAAAAGGGTAACTGTTTCAAAACACAACATGTGCAGATCCACGCTATGAATAGTTCAGAGGGATCATTATATGATGCGTCAGACACATGAGCGCATGATATATGTACCCATTTTCTACACTGTGTGCATAATAGACCTTTTTGATTTACCTTAACAGACTTTTGGCATATCCCACATAGACAATCCCTAACCATTTAGTATGTAATTTATAGATCATAAACAGATAAAACAACTAAAACATATATCAATATCAAAATACAAGGACGTTGAAGTTCAAGCAATGCACCACGCTGAATAGAAGCACTGAATTACTCAGGCACTATAAAGTAGATGCTTAAGTCATTTCAAGTCACTTTCGTTGGTGATTAAGCGTTTGATTGTTTTGCCTCCAGTAGTGGGGAAGAGGCCAAGAATTCTTTCGTCTAATGACCACGCCGCTAGTATATTTCCACATTTTTTCGCTTTTAAACAACTTAAACAACTTAAACAACTTAAACAACTTAAACTCTCTGAATAATTTAATTTTTTATCAGAGTACGGAACCATTTTTTAAACATGTAAACTGTGTAATATATATTTTTTATTATTTTTAAACAATAAATTCCTCTAAAGGGGAATTAAAATAAAATAGTGGTCACCCTTCGACGATCATATTCAAAATATGTGTAGCATGATCTTCAGTGGCTGGAGTTGAAAATGACCCCCTATTTTGCATACTTTCAAGAAAAGTTTCCACAAAATCGAACTTCTTTTAGCATAAATACAAGGACAAACTTAGTTTAGGCTTACCGAGTTCACATTCACAGAAAACATTGAAATTTCGGGGAAAAGGATTACGCCTACACATGTTTTGGAAAATCGTGAAAAATTACTCTTTTTCGCATATGCTCTTGCTCCCACCCCCCCCCCAAAAAAAAGAAGACTAAAGCCCTGTTCTTTTGTTTGAAAGCTTCTAACCATCATGTTTTCAAAACGGTGGTGCTAGGGGGGGGGGGGCTTCACCAGTTTTACAATATCCATTTGTTGCCATTGCCGTCGCTTCAGTGCATGATCGCATCAGTGTTTAAACTTTCAAAGTCTGTCGGCTTCGGAATGTCCGAAAGTAGTTTCAACACCGTCCTCGATCCCGTCTTCATCATCATCAAAAGTGTTCTGTCTGACATCGACATCATCATCGTCGTCATTATGTCGATAGCTCTGTTCCTTGGAGGTGGTCGTCGATTCTGCTGACAGCTCAAATGTTGATGAAGTCGTTCTCTTCCTCCATCCGCTAGACAGGTCATAGGAGCCTGTCTTACCCATCAATACATGGTACCACTTCTTCTCGGGTTTGTCCTGATCGTCCGTTGTGGAGCGGGACCGAGATTGAGTACTATTTCCCATGCTTGTAGTCTCTTCAACAGGAGGCAGGCAACAACAAAGTATCTTTCTCCATTGGGAACGAGCAGCAGGGTTACGCAGACAGTAGAAGAGAAACAGGAAAAAGCCTTGGAGCGAGTTTAAGATAATGAAGATTATCTGGATTGATACAGATGCACCCTGCACGAATCAAAAAGATGGTTTACAAAGCAATGAATGGGGGTCTGTATGGTAGCTATTGTAGCTGAATAAGATATTAAAAAGCATTTTAAGCTTATTTATAAAAGAAAAAGTTCGATATCGAGGGCATAAAGATCAGAACAGAACAGAGGCAGATTCACAATCGTTCGAAAGGGGAGGGTGAAGATTTTCCGGACATTTGAGTTTCCCGGGGACATAATTTCTGGAATCCAGCAGGTTTCTCAATGTCCTATCATTAGAGGAACACCAACAGTTTCCATATTATTAAAAAAAAACTAAAATAAGGAGTGGCACGCAGACCAGTTTCTAGAAAGGCTTTTTCTGTATGCTTTCATCAACAGAAAGGGGTTGCAGCCTCATTGCCCCCCCCCCCTCCCACGAATTCAGCCCCTAAAGCGTTATGAATCAAAAATAAATATCTCAATCCTGTATAGATATTTTGAGATAACAGGCTTCTGTCCCATGCATTTCCCGCCACGTTATGCATTTGCCAAACTAGCTTACATGTACATGACAGGTATATAACGAGAGAGGCAAATTCATGTTTATCCACTGAATGATAATTGGTACTTAATCTGAAAATGTTCAATATTGACGAAATCTATTAAGAATTTTATGAAATTACTGGAGAATGACGTTCAAAAGTGTTTACGGGTAGTCATATAGGTTACAGAAAACTTTGAAAAGTACTGACTGACTGAATATCAAGCAGGCAAAAAATCTAACCAAAATAATGTCAGGGTAAAGTAGGCCCAGAGTAAGAAAAGTCTTATTGAGTAGGTATATAGTTACCTCTATGGCTGTAAAGAATCCTATTGCCCATGTCAACCCCATCAATATGATAAGAGCTGAAGCATTCTGAAGACGACGAATACGCTCTTTATAGATAGGTTTGGTGAGCTGTCTACCTTCGACCTTACGTGATAGACGACGGATCACCATGACGAAGATGATAGAATCGTATATGATGACTGTTGCTATGGGAACGAGGACCCCACCTATCATCGGAATCTCCGCCAAGAAACCACATCTATACATGGGGAATAAGACTTGATGAAAGTACACGCCCAAAATATATTTGTTAAATATATAATTGAAAAGCATCATCATTAACGATAAACCAAACATTTTAATTTCAAATCGTGACCCCATCAAAATTAAATCATATCAAATTAAACTTGTATGGTTTGTTTTAACTGACAAGGAGAGTAGTAGTAGTAGAAATAGTAAACTTTATTGGATAACTGTTTAGCAAAAGGCTCATCTGCCACGAGGTCCATAAGAAAGATAATATGTATGCTTGACGTAATATTAAGCAACCAGGAAACCGACGGCTTTAAGTTCTCTCAGAGGGACTTGTAATGAGGATTAATGCCTTAGGCCGACCAAATAGCACTAACGCATCGCATGTTGACTTGGTTTCGAACCCGTGATCTAATCTCAAACACTGAACCATCGCTCCTCTCCTCTCCTCTTAAGTCATTAAAGGAATTATGGAGTATGCCTACTAACATAAATAACACCGTCAACATTAATGCCTCTAACAAATAGGGTCACATACGCCTCGTTTTGTTTATATTAGAAAGATCAAAGTATACCTTGTGATGGAACCCGTCCTAACATGATTATTATCATTGATCTCTATGATCCCCGTATTTACAATCATGGTTTTGACTTTTCCTATCGTAAATATGGAGACAGGAGAATTATAAAAGGCAAACAGAGGTCTGGCGCCGAGGTGGATGTTTATAGGCATGTGTCATCACAACATAAAGGTACTTGAACACTGATCTAATTTAATAATATACATGTATTATACATAATATATATACACATATATATAATCATATAGATTTAGATTTAATTATGGTATTTGTCTGCTGATATATTTTAAGTTTCGTTACCATAGTGTCAATGTCGTTATGAATGATATTTCTGTCGTTATAAAGATATTTATTTTATTTTTCAATTCAATTCAAATAATTTTATTTCTAAAAACCAATCAAAAGATGAAAAAATGCGTACATAAAATTAATATCAAATGACATTTGCAATACAACAAAGAAAATGTAACTAATTTGCAATTATACAATATTAAATGTCGATAAGTAATAAACGCATTTTAAGATACAAGATATATGAGCATAATATTTTCATAAATTAAGTAGAATTTTAAAGGAAATTGAGAAATCCACTAAATAGCAGTGCTTGTTTTGGTGTGGATTATTCAAGAAAGAAAAGGAAAAGGAAGTAAGAAATGACCAACACCTATAATAGAAACGAGCTTACATTCCGTCATTATATCTCATATAGCCACGTTGAGCTATTCCTCCAGTCAATCCCACTATTACAGCTGGTACACCTGCAAGTAAACAAAAAAACATTATAAAAAAAAACTATTTAAAAAAGCGTGGCGACTACAAATTCAATTCTATCAATACGAGACTTCGGTAATAATTATTCACATGAACTGAACTGCCTGATGTACATTGACTTGCCCAATTATCATGATAGACGATTTGAAATAGTAATCACAGGGTTGGTCAAAATCATGGCATTGGTGAAAATGCCGATCTTTTTAGTGATTCTAATATGATCCAAGACCAAATCGATAATCTCGGTTCCTTTAAACAGCCTTCGTAGCTATGGTAGGCCAGATTTTGTCCGTTTTCATATATTTTTTATTCTTCAGCCATCTATGTCCTCCTCCCTTACATGCATCACACAGATCGCGCGACCCGAATAATAATATACGGTCGAGAGGAACCCCCTCCCCTCAAAAAGCAACAATGGGTTAGCAATCTTTTTTGATAAATCTTTTCATCATTAATTTTTGATACAATGTTCTCCTTCATAATTTGTATTTCTTTTCTGAAACTCTTCAAGTTAAACAAGGACAATAACCTCGTAAACACAGAAACATGCATCAGATATCAATACCTGATGGCACAGTAATAAGGATAACAAATTAACACGAAAATAATACAACATTTTTTTTTTTTTTAATATAGGCTATTTTTCGGCCAACACGCTTTGAGTTAGACACAACATGGCGATTCCTGCTTTGTTGGGCAAGCACACTTTGAAGAATGTACGCCATGTCATGACCAACTGAAATGAAGTTGGCCAAACGCTGTGTATACATGTATAAAAGCATCTAAAAGCACCTCCCTTCACTGGTGGGTCCAAAAATAGAAAATCATTGAAATAACTAGACATGTAATACTTGTTTGGAACAAGTATAGGTGGGCTGTTCCAACCAAAATTTGAGACAAAATAGAGCAATAATAAGCGAGATACTGCTAAAAAAAAACAATGTCATGTAGATTCATGATGTGAACAAAATTCACCTTCCATAGGCATAACACGCAAATTAAGAAATTTCTGACTTGTGGCCTTTAATCGAAATTTTCACTATGATGACGTCATCAAAATGAAAATGGTGGTAACCGAGCTTGTTGAAATTTGTCTTAGCTACAACATATTGAAATTTGGAAGAAAATCGATCAATATTTACAGAGATACAATCAATTCCCCATCAATATGTGCTGCCGTTATAATATGCAAATTCTTTTGTTTGAGTTCCAAGGCCATTATGATGACGTCAAAATACATTTAATGGCTAAATGAGACATGAAATCATATCTCCGACTCATAATCAATCAAAATATGAAAAAACTTTTGGGGTTCAGGTGCATCCCAGCTATCCGAGCTATCATGGATTTTGTATTATAAGCATGTTTTTGCCCATATATGCTATGTATTACAAGAGCTCGCGCGCACGGACATTTATCTTGAACGGACGCTCATTCCGTTATTAATAATCATATCAAATGTATCAAATTGTTCGGAAAAGATGAGTAATATGGCATGAAAGAACAAAAAATGGCGATTCTATATTGTGTAACGGCGTGACGCGCGAAAACGCGCGCGCACAATTTTAAAATGCTTTAAATGACCTAAAACATACTCTTATTTCATTAAAAAGTGATTTTGAGCATTTTAGAATTTTGACGCGCGCGTATATGCTTTAATGAAATTTCATGTTGAACTTTGACCTTAAGTTCATGTGTTTCAAATATGGGTCGGTTTTGATGACTCGTTATGGAGATATGATCATGTGTTGATTTTCAGAAAATTTCACAAAATGGCGCCTAAATGACGTCATGAGTCATGGTCAAGGTTGAAAAAACTTATTGTGCTTTGTCCACATATGCCTGTGTGCCAAAGTTCAAGGCATTTGATTGAGCTATTTTCAAGTTATCTTGTACACAAAACGGTGGTTAGAAAAAAGAAAATAAAGAATAAAGAAAGGCAATTTTAACGAAAAAATGAGGTGGTCTGTATTATATACAGCCCACCTGATTATTTCACCCGTTCGCGTTTTACCAACATGATTGTGATCGATTTCTGAGATGTTAATATATTCACCTAATATCTGACTTCAATGACGTCATATGGAAAGACTTTGTCAATATTGGTTTTGATTTCAATCATTAAAATCGATTGAAATCAATCAAACCAAGGCAACATTCACTTCGTTCGACCGACGAGAGCACTTGATTTATGTGTGTTGTCTGTCATTTAAAATATACCTATGACGTCATACAGCATATGGCGGCCTGTTCTTCAAACAATCCCACTCCCCTTAAAAAAATATGAAAGTGGTATTGTAAGATTCCTGATTGTGATTGTGTATCAGATCACCAGTGGTTAAGAAAGTAGCAACTAAATTCAAATTATGGAGTTCAGCTCGATTCATCATTGCAATGATAATAATATTGGCTTTTTATTTAGCTGTCGTATCTACCTCTCAAAGTGCCCAAGATTGATACGCTCAATTACATCCCTGCTTTAGCATGTTTGATTAGCGTAGGTGATACCGTTTCGATGCTCACATCATTCAACGACACTAAATGTGTATTGTACATGTATTTCAGTTTGCCCCTAAGGACCTCGTAAATCATCGCTCTGAAACAAACTATCTGTTAGGCATTAAAACAAATATGTTTTCAGACTTTTCAAAAATCAATGATTTCCTAGTTTTACATTGAAATTTTACTCCTGAGGCGTAACTATGGAGATTTGTCATTTTTAGGCGTATGCTTATCTTTCACATTACATCATCAGTCAAATTGATCTGTACATGTGAACAGATTCATTAAAATTCGCATAAAAATACAAATCTCAGACATTTCTCCGCCTCTAAAAATAATTTCTAGACCACTGTAATCTCCGAAATCAATCACTAATTCTAAGTCGCATGAAATCATAGTCTGGTCGTTTTTCCTAAAAAGGAAAAAAAATAGTATTTCATACACGTAAAAAGGTAGACAATATGATAAAAGTCATTTGGTAGGGATGGATATCGATGTCAGATTGCATTGAGTTTTTGGATTACCATTTATGAAAGAAGTGTTATTCTAACAGACTCCATCAAAAATGGGACACAATGTTAAAGATTTTTTTTTTAACGTGTACGTCTTCCAAACGAATTTTGTATCATAGGCTGGATTATAATTTCAAAAATATAAAGGTTTTAGACCCACCTAACGTAAAGACTGCTGCCTTTATCATGAAATTTCGAATGCCACCTCGGTCAAAAATCTTGATGACCATGAGGTACATATTGAAACTTTCCACAGCCATCCAAGCGATTGAAGAGAGGAGAGAGAAGTGAAGAAACCCTACGATGATACCACATGTTGTCATGGTAACGGTCTTGAGTGATGCGAGAATGATGAAGAAGATGTAAAGACACAGGAGTGATATGCAGAGACACATCAAAATCCGACTAGGCTGAGGATTTCTCAACTTTCTGTGACGATAAAAAGGTAATTCAGACGGTTATAAATTGTGACATGTGAATCCTATTTTTATTTCTGGTGGAGGGAGGGGCTGGAAAGAAATTGTGTTAGAATCGAACAATAAGTTGCTAATTTATATCGTTTTGTTACATTATAATGGTATACATGCTAAAGGATAAGGGTTACTGCGCGCCCAGTAAGTGACCTGACCGAGAGGAAGACTTTGGAAGAAATTATATTAACGATTAGGTATTTTGTTTAGATATGACATCTACTCAGAATAGAGTTTGAATAGCCTTAGTCTTACTGCCAGAGAAAATACTTCATCGACAGCGAATCTGGACGTTGTCTTGCAAATGGCACGACTGTTCCCGAATAGTAGCCGATTTGAGTCGATTGCTTTGATTTAAAGTCTTTCAAATGAACCTCGACTTATCTTCTGTTGTGAAAGAATGAATAAAATTGAATCATTCAGAAAATGACATACCTGACGGATAGAAATGTTACGATGGTGACAAATAGGAAGAATATAGAGAGGGAGCATCCGGCATAACTCAAAACGTCAAGGATGTACGTCCACTTATCATCCAATGTCGACCCTCCGTAAATGTCCTGAGATGATGAGGAGGAGGAGGAGGAGGAGGAGGAGGAGGAGGAGGAGGAGGAGTACGTCGAGGAAGAGGAAAGCGAGGAGGATAAGGAGGGGAGAAAGAAGAAGAGGAATGTCAAGCAATGTATGTAGATCGTAATCAACTTTCTTGCATTCCTTAATATTCGAAGTGCTTCAAAGATTAAACCTCCCCCCCCCCAAAAAAAAAAAATATATATATATATATATAAATAAATAAACAATAATAATAATAATAATAATAATAAAGAAAAAAGAGAGAGTAAGGAGAAGGTGTAGCAAAAATTGTTATAGCCAAACTAGGACTAAAAGAGTGAAAGACTAATACCCGAGGAATTGATTTTGCACTGTAAAACCATTTCTCATCACACTTCGTCATAGGCTTATTAGCAAAATGATTATAAACTGATAACAGCGATAATAAAGATGCGAATGTACGTGCATACCATGAGGACGGCGAAGTTGGTAAGATGGTTGCACTGGCATAGGAGCTCGTCACCAGTATCATTGTCCATTCCTACCAGCTGACATCCGTCTGTTGACCAGTTTCCATAGCCGTCATCAGCATCGAAGTCCCAGAATACACATACCGGGTTGGTTACGTCGACAAGGGTCTCATTGTAGGTGTTCTGATCGTAAGAAGAAAGAACGACAAATGGAAAGAATGATAAAAGGAAAGATAGAAAGTGGAGATGATAGAAAAATAAAGATAAGGAAAAACATAATAAATGATTAAAAAAATAAAGAACAAAAAAGTAAAGAATTATAAAGAAAGATAGAGAAGAATTGAGTCACGTCACTGCTTGGACATGCGCAGTGCATACCTTCGAACCCATCGCTTGTTTGCTCACGCAGGTGATTTTTTTCCGTCAACCGTACGTGTGAACGATGGCAAATAAATTCAATTATTGGAACGCACACCAAAACTCACTTATTACTGCGTTTGAATGCACCTTACCGATGACAATTAAGGTACATTGCTTCCCAAATTTGGCAAGTATAAAAAAAGTCCAACATTTTACGTAGGAAAAGTGGCCCTTTCATTTTGAGATTATGCTTAAAACACCTCCAGGATTGGTTACTTCCTCTTAGTAAGATGTAATCGGTTCCAATACGACATATTTGCTCGCTCGCTTTGCTTTCTGCAAAATGATTCTTCAGACGATCACAAACAACTGCAAAATATAATACTTAACCAATATATTGAACCACGTAAAGAGAAAGAAACAATAAAATCTTAATGATCATTTATGATATATTATTAATTTCAAGGTAAAAGTATTATACCAATATCTAAAACTGTATTTTCCGCTATTAGGTTACCCTTTGCAGGTGCCCCCTTTTCCAGAAAGTGCCTTGTTTGTTGGTGTATCCCACTTTTAAAAGACGCTCCACCGTCCCTGCAAATCCCATAGACCTGTAACAGGTCACCTGCTACACCGGCAGATCGACTTCAAATCTTATACCCCGGATTGACACACCGTCATACCGATTCCAAATCTAACCGCTCGATGGCGGACAAATCTTGGTCATTCACGGTCATATTGCTCCGGTTGTCTCATTTTCGCCAGCACAAACGTAGGCTAATTCGCGTATATAGCAGACGGCAATCGGCGGATCAGACGACACTTGATAGTGATTTTGTATGTAAGATTGCTTTGCTAAATATAAAATACAAGAATCTTTTCCATATCTTTAAACTATCATCGATATCTGGTAATTAAACAGTTAGTAAAATAAATCTACCAAACTACATAATACAATGAAATACTTGACTGAAAGTAGGGGAGTTTGATGTGGTGCACAATTGCACCCCTCTGTTAATAATCGAATAGTCCATGGTGTTCATGAATAATCATGTTTTTGCTTACCTCGGCAAAATGCTTGCCTATACTAAATGGAAAAATTACGGTGGGGGTGGATGAAATGGATATAATACACAAATCAGAAATGATCTATGATAATTCATGTTTCTTATCCTTCGTGTGCTTGACTTATAACCTTACAATCGCGTGGTAAATTGAGTCCAAAGTTCGACTTGTTGTACATGTGTTATATAGGCAATGGCGAGCTTGCGACCTATTTTGATGAAATTACGGTGGGTGAACTTTCAAAAGACAATAAGACATGAGGGTTCCAATGAAAGAGCTAGTGATAATGTACGTCGGGGTGGATGTGCTTTTCGTTCAAACAAAAAAATGAATTTTTAACGATTTTTTTGTGTGTAAAAGTCCATAGGCTAACGTACATGTTAGGCTGCTGGGCTCTGCCGATAGGGGGCGTTCTCAAATGAGACTAAACCGAGCTGTAAAGTTTGGTGTCGGTCTTGTCGAGCTTGTCGGTATGACTGAGGCATTGGACATCGGGGGGGGGGAGGTGGCTACGACAGCTCCATCCTATAATGGATACTTACCACAAATTTAAATAAGAAAGTTGATCATGGTTCAACTTCGATGGAGAGTCTCATTTATAAATACATTGTTATAACAATCTTAAGCCTCATCCGGATAGTTTAAATGTACACTGTTGGTCATAATGGTGGAATAATTTTTTTTACCCCAATTTATTGAATGATTTTGACAATGATTTATTCCTAATAGATCTAGATAATAGTATACATTCTCAGATTTTATTGAATGACAATTGGGGAGTGTTTGTTTTACGTGACTGCTAAAGCATGTGTGTGCTACTATGCTAATCAACTAGGAAACCTACGTCCTTAAGTCATAACTGACAGTAATGGGGATTAATACCTCATAAAAGGGCACTAATATAGCACATCGACACGGTTTTGATCCTGGGGGCTCACAGTAACGAGGTCATTGCTGAGCCAAAGAATCATGACTGTACACAGCGGTTGCTAGGGTACGTCGACGCCCCCACAAAAACAAAAAAACAAAGAAAATGCAATAAATTTTCAATAATTCATTGCATTGTCCCCCAGTCCCCAACAGAAAAAATTCCTATGTAGGGCCATGCATTATGGTTCAAGGCAAGCCCACATAGAAGATTTTTTTATGTTGGGGGTCGGGGCAAAATGCAATGAATTATTGAAAATTTATTGCATTTTCTTTGTTTTTTTGTTTTTGTGGGGGCGTCGACGTACCCTAGCAACCGCTGCGTACAGTCATGATTCTTTGGCTCAGGAATGGCCTCGTTACTGTGAGCCCCCATGATCAAAACCGTGTCGATTTGGTATATTAGTGCCCTTTTATGAGGTATTAAATCCCCATTACTGCAGTTATGACTTAAGGATGTAGGTCCCCTAATTGATTAGCATTGAAGCACACACATGCTTTAGCAGTCACACAAAACAAATACACTACCCAATTGTCATTCAATAAAATCTGAGAATGTATACTATTATCTAGATCTATTAGGAATAAATCATTGTCAAAATCATTCAATTAATTAGGGTAAAAATAATTATTCCACCATTATGACCAACAGTGTAGTGCCTACCGTATCGTTTGTAACAGTTATTGGCATGTATGATGTCAAGACAGGTTCAGAAAGGTTTGTGATCTTAATCCCACCAATGGATGCAGAGATGATACGAGTATTCGATGTTCGGTTATATGGCTTGCCCTTATTGGAGGCAAGCAACGACCGAGAAGGAAACAGCGAAGTTGTCCGATAAAGCACGAATGATACCCGAGTGTTGTTGTTGCCTCGGATCGCCTTCCCGATTGATGGTGGTAGAAAGAGTTGAGCTTGAACCGGGTTTGTTTCCATGGTCGTACTCGAGCTGTCATTCTTGCCCTTGTAGACGATCATGTGTTCGGGCAACAGTTCTCCACTCGGATCGTTGGTCGCATACACAAAAGTCAGACCTTCCGTCAGTTCTTCAGGTGGATATTCACTAACCTGTTACCATGTTAATAGGCAAAATGATAGAATGAAAAGAATATGCAAATATAAAGAAAAGATGTGCTTTCATTGCGGTGACCCCCTACCCCCCCCCCCAAAAAAAAAAACAACAACAACAACAACAACAACAAAAACATACAAACAAACAAAACAAACAGACGTACATTGTAACCGGGGAAACGGATGATAACTAACGCGTATTTATAAAGTCAGAAGTTTCTGTTTAAAAAAAAAACCCTTACAATTAATAAGTTAACACTCATAAAATTACAATATTCATAACAGTTTATAAGAGTGTGACTTAATTGCAGGTGTATGATGGTGGTCTATGTGGGACATGAAATTACGTAAATTTCCACTTGAATGCATGGCCTGTAACCACGGTAGCTTCAGATGACAATGTAAAACGTAGATTTTGTTTCGCTTATTTCAAATTTGTCAACACGACCTCTAAGGTTTTCGAGAAATCAACACGAGGACACTAATATTAATACCCTAATGGATATATTCCATAGAAATAAAGTTCTGATTACGCGATGCGTCATTGATATGTATTGTTCCTACATCAAAATAGGTGGAGGACAAGGCTATTGAAATTGGTTGATTTCCGGAAGTTTTTACAATAGTTGTGTTCTGTCAAACTCTTTAAGAATTAGTAAATAATTAAAGAAGAAAGAAAAAGAAAAACACTCAGTGAACTTAACTGAACTGCGCTAAAAAAAAAAAGTAATTACATCTGTAAATCAATAATCGACTCAAAATAAGAAGACAAACCTGGACTCCGAGGTTTGGTTGAACATCTGTGTAAGTTCCATTGGAAGCTGAAACATTGACGAATTGAAGCTGAGATTCTAAAGACTGTACGGCCATGTTAGTAGCACCTTCATTAGCTGCTGCTTCTAGTTGAGCTTCATCAACATTCATTAGATTGTTGACGGTTTCCACAACAGCGGTAGTTACCTTGACAACATACATGAACGACTGTCAGGTAACTCATTGGTAAAAGGGCGAGTCCAGAGTCCCATGCAATACCATGTTCGATTGTATTATGAACATAAATTGACATAAAAGTACCAATTTAATTGATGTTCCGTCTGATCCAAGCACTAGTATGGTATTCAAAGTGATTTTCAGATAATACCAGAACCTTGGGTGTGGTTGGTAACCATAGTAGTATGTATTGGACAAGATCGAGTTTGGACTTGCCAAATAATCTCCTATTATACCACTTTGTACACTCTATTATAGTCTGTTAAGGGCAAGAAACAGTGAAATCGAACAAAACAATGAAGAAGATGTTGAAAGTGGGAGGAGGAGGAGGAGGAAGGAGGAGGAGGAGGAGGAAGGAGAAAGTAGGAGAAAGAGAAAGAGAAGGAGAAGGAGAAGGAGAAGGAATGGGAGGAGATGAAAATAAGGAGATGGAGGAATGGGATGGGAAGGAAATGGAGGAGTAGGAGCGATGGGGAGGGGGAGGAGGAAGAGGGGTACCGGAGGAGGAGGAGTAATGTTGAAGGAGTAGGATGAGGAGAGTGAAGGGAAGGAGGTGGAGAGGGATATAGAGGAGGAGAGGGAGGAGAAATGGGCAGATTTCAATTTACATTACACCGAAGTTAAAAACATTACACCGAAGTTAAAAACTGTTAAGTGCAAAAAAGCCAAAACTACATTTCAGGCAGACACTCCTCCATAAAGCCCAATCCAATCCAATACAACAAAATGTATTTCGTGTATATGATTATGTTCCAGGTACCATACAAACCAATTAGAAAATTAGAAAATGATAAAACACTCAAAAAGATGTTAAAAATATTACAGTCTGCATGTGTTCTCTCATAAAATGAATGTGTGTTCAAAGGTTTCTTGAAAACCGTCCTCAGATAAAGATATAAGCACTGTTCAGCAAGCAAAGCTTATGAAAAAAGGACTTTCAAATATAATCTCAATTAGGCCTACAAAAAAAGATGTTGTATTGCCCTTTGCGACCGACTCAAAAATCTTAAAATCTACGGTCGGCTTTTTTTTAACCGTTTTTTTTTTTTTTTTTAAGATTTCCGACCGACCGACTCTGTTTTGGCACCTAAAGGGCAATACAATTTTTGTTTAGGCCTTATAGGCAAATCACGCGTGCATTTTATTGACCCCTATTCCATTGCAAACCTCAGGTTCTGATGAGTTTAGCGCGGTGATGTTTCCTAAGATCTCAGCAGTGGTTTCCACTCCATCTGACGTCATGTCTTCGGAGTCTTCGGTGAGTTCAGCAAGGTCCTTAGAGATTTCCTCCACATTCTCCTCGGTAACTGGGGTCTGAAATGATTGGTTATTAACTAGTATTAGTGGTGGTCTTATTCATTGGTAATGCCATTTCGATATTTCGAAAGAATGACATTACATTTTGTGACTATTTTCTCAAATCTCTAAATTCAACTTTCTGACTTGCTTTTAAAGCTGATCAGCTTGGCCAACGGATTTACCTGCCTACCCTGAAAAATACCAAGATCAAATTATAAGGGGACATACTTAAGAGTTTTTCTTTAGAGGTTGTTGTTGTCTTGGGATAATTGTCATTGGAGGTTTCCAGATTCTGGACTACAGTTTGCCGTGAAACCTGTGAGAAAGTGTATTATAATGTCTTCGTTTTTAGGAAAAATACTCAAAAAAAGATAAGAAAATTGACACAAAACAGGTAAAAACATAACGTCTTTTAAATCATGACCATTATTTGAACAATTGATAAAGATTTAGTTGATTTTTGGTATGTTTTAGTAGGGTATCTCCACGCCAGAGTTACGGTCAAAGTCTGGATATGATTCTGAACTGGCGCCATATGTTTTACCTTTTTTTTCATGAAATGATCGTGACAATAATATTACCTCTTGAAAGACAAGATTTGTACGTGCTCATAACCTTATTGATCAACCTAATTAGTCTGAGAGATTGATCAATATAATACTGAGAAGATATCAATTATATCAATCAAGAATGTCGCAATCACCGCATGTGAAGAGATAAGAAAATATTATTCAAACATTTCTGGGCAGCAGTGCCTTTGTTCAGTTCATTCTTAGTTTACCTCCTCCACCCCTTACATACACATAATTATGGTCATAATTATGGTCACACATAATTATGGTCATGCAATACTGTCAATAATAAATATGACGCAAATTAAATACATAAAGTCATGAACCTCTGCTCAATATCGACCATCGTAAAAAAGTAAGGCATTTGATAAGGAGTCTTAACCTCACATCCGTAGATATCATTTCAGTCTACGTTTCATTCATTTTTAAAACAACCATTGTGGATGCAGGAAAAAAATTGTTTTACCATAATTCTTTTCATTAACGTGGTACATATTATTTGTAGGCCTATTTACACTATGACCCAAACGTCAAATGTGTGACCCTTATGGAACAATCACAGCGTTACCACATAGTGGACCACACTGTGTACCATATAGTCAAACACAGTGTGGTACACACTGGTATACCACCGCGTCACCACACTGTGGTACGCACCACATAGTATACCACAGCGTTACCACATGTCCCAAAATCACATGTGGCCCACACTCTGGTATCAACTACATGGTCTACCACAGTGTATTATACCACAGCGTTACCACACGTCCCAAAATCACATTTGGTCCACATTTGGTAGCACGCTCTGAGATCAAACACATAATTACCACATAGTCTACCACACTGTGGCACATATCGCATATTCTAATACTGTGGCACCACATAATCAACCACACAGTCTACCACACCTTTCAGATGAGAAATTATCTAGTAATTTACGCTATGAGTAGCAATTATACTAATTATTTTTGCCAATGACAACAATTAATACAGTATCACTGATTCATCTTTCCATATTCAATTTTCCATATACTTGTATTTCATTGAATATATTTGAGTTCATAGTTAATATTTCCGTAATTTATGTTTAATACTTTATTTTATTTATACAAAGTAGTAGGATGTCCTGATAATTGGCAATTTATGTTTTGTAGTATTTTTGAAATGAATTGTAAATCATCAGTAATTCAGAAATATGCTTTAAATTCAGATAAATTGAATACAAACATAGATCTGCACGCACCCCATATTCATTATGCAAATTAACTGGTGTCAACTGGTTTAACTGGAAATATGGCCACGGACCAGTTTTCAACTGGTGTAACTGGAAATATCAACTCAGTCTGGTTCAACTGAAAATAAACCCACAGACTATATGGATATTACTTTGTAGTAAACCACATGATCTAAAAATTCACACACTGACAATATACTGTGAACACAAATTTTACACACTGTGGTAAATATGTGTCACTCTGTGTTAAATATGTACGACGATGTGGTAAACCACATGATTTGAACCCCACACTGTGACAATACTGTGAACAGAGAGTTTAAACATTGTTCAGTACATACAACACTGTGGTAAATATGTATCACTCTGTGTTATTATGTACGAGTATGTGGTAAACCACATGATTTTAACCCCATACTGTGACAATACTGTGAACACAGAGTTTACACATAGTTCAATACACATACCACTGTGGTACATATGTGGTACTCTGTGTTTAGTATGTCAGTTTATGTGGATAATATGTGGTAAACCACATGGTCAGAAACTCCACACTGTGACAACAATGTGAACACATAATGTTTACACAGTCTAGACATAGTTGACTTTGTGAACATAGTGTGGCAACACTGTGTTTGTTCCATGAGGGATATTTACAGCGTTTAACTTCCTCCGACAATAAAAAGAAAATAGTTGGCGTTCATCCAAAAAGAAAAAAACAACGAGAATATGTGCAGATCAGATTGAAAGGAAGAAAAAGGTGTTATGTTGAGTAACCTTGGTAGGTTCATTTGCTCAATATAAGATGCATATTTCGCGAACATTTTGCAGATATTGGTAGTCAGATTGAGCTTTGTGAGAAGACAAACGGGTTGTTTTCAATAAGTTCACTTTCAAGATTGCAATTGGAAGACCATGAACCTTTGTTTATTTCGCTATCCGTTTCTCTCCCTTCATTTATTTCGACATCTTTATACCTCTTTTTTTCTCTTCCTCTCTCCCATTATAGCGCAATATCAGCGGTATTGAGTGAACTTTGGGTTATTTAAGAGATAGCAAATTGAGCAACGGAACAAACATCATTTGGAGCCAAATTTACTTTTACACTACAGCTTTGGACAAGTGCATTGTTCAATGTTCAATGCACTCCATATAATGTATTTATTTAGTTATTTATTCTGCAATTGTGATCTACATTCCTGTATGTTTAATACTTCAGCCATAATCAACTGTGCGCGGAAGCACCTTGGCCGAGCTGAACGTACTTATGATAGTGATAGTGGGGGTTATTTTACATGACAGCTAAGAAAGCAATAAATGCTTGTTAGTAAGCAACCAGAAGACTGACAGCTTAAGGTCCTCTCCGAGGGACCAATGTGCATATAATCTACGAGGATTTAAATGTAGTACCTCCCCCCCCCCCCCCCATAAAAGAGATAATTAACATAAATGTATTTTTCCAGCTTTTTTGAGAATTTTTCGGGGGGGGGGATAGGTAAAACTTTTCACTTGCCTAAGCAAATGCACTAGTAATTGCTCCCTCAAAAAACTTGACAAATGTTTAAAGAATTATATCAACGTGATAGGGGTTCCCCTTAAAGTTTCAGAAGAATAGATTCAGTGTTTGAATTTCTACCTTATCACTTAACCATATCATGCTTCCTTTTAACCAGTCTTTACTTGTTTATTTACAATGGCTTGCAATTACACCTAGCAACTCTATTTGCACATTTGTATACAATTTCAGCATAGTTACGATAGACTTAATACAGAAACAGGTCCGTAATTCAAAGGTCCTATAATATCCCCTTTCCTACGCCGGTCTAAAGTCGAGTTTGTCAAAGGCAGTTAAAAAGAGGTCGAGAGATCAATTCACTCCTAAGTTTGTTAACTTAACTTAACGCCCGTCTGCACTAGTTTGGCCAGGAGGGATTAGACCTCCCTGCAAGGTCACTGACTGGTGATTATCTCATCAAATCAGCTCTCAATTAACATAAGAAAAAGGGGATCATGGGGAACCAACGGGCACCGCTTAGGCATTGTTTGCTATATAGAGGGCGCAAGTAGTGCAGTCCCGCCTAAGTCCTCGCATCGGGTTTCACTGCATCGGCAGAATACGGGCCAAATAGCATTTTTCTGCTGGGATAGGCGTCAACTAATCCAATTCAACACTGAGTTAAATCCCTTTTGGTGTTTATGAGATTATCTTCATTACGTTAGGACTGTAATACTCCTATAATAGGAGTATTACAGTCCTACTTATTCTTTTGCTTTGATTAACGATTCAGCTCTAGATAATGGAGCTGATTACCAAAGTTATTCATTAAACGCCTTATAACTGCAAAAGAACATTAAGGGCATTTGCACAATCAGGAAGGAAAACGTTTAAAAGAGGTGTCCGACAAGCACCAACAAACTTCAATCAAGGACAACCCCCTTCACCAATACGTCACGGCTACGTCAATGGACTATGGATCACATGGTTCGCGGTACGGGTCCCGCCGTGGCACTAATGTATTTTGACAAGACATGAGTCTATTTTTGCCACACTTCATCCAGGTGAGGGTACCTGGTAGGAATGCTTGAACGCCTTTTCAGGGTGGCCCGGATATAGCCAGGATAATACATGTAATATGATTGCATGGCCCTCAGGGAGAATAGTATTAAAACTGTTGAGGCTACCCTGGGTAAACAAAAAATATTATTATTATAATTTGTTTTGTTGTTGTTATTATTACTATTACTATATTTATTATTATTGTTATTATTATTATTGTCATTACTCATTATCATTCTTATTATTATCATTATTATCATTATTGTTATTACTATTATTTGTATCATTATTATTATCATTACCATTATTACTATTACATTCCGTGAATAACTTTCTCATTGTGAATACGCCTACTCTCTTGTTGATTCTTTCAAAATAATGAAAATTAACAACAATAGTTAGTTAGTATACTATGATTATATTTTGTAAATGAAGGCATACCCCTTCAAGCTCTTTCAGATCATCATCGACGTTCCGTTTTTCAGTCGTCATACGAATTAGCGATGTGGTTTCAATCGTAATGGTTGTTGAATGCGTCGTTGAATCGAGTGTGGCGGTCGTTGACATTGGCATGGACAAGGAAGTTGAGGGTTTAGTCACAGTAACAGTATCTCGATAGGTTGTTGGTTCCTCCTGAAAGCCTGTTGGCAGCGGTGACGACGTTGATGGCAATGGTGATGATGATGGTGTAGGTGCTGACGTCGGCAGCGGTGACGACGTTGATGGCAATGGTGATGATGATGGTGTAGGAGATGGCGGCGACGGCGGCGGCACTGATGGCGGCAACGACTGTGGTGGGGGTGGCGGTGGTGGTAAGGGAGGTGGAGGAGGAGGCAGTGGCGGCACTGAAGGCGCCAATGACGGTGGTGGGGGTGGCAGCAGTGGTGGTGGTGGAGGTGGTGGTGGTGGTGGTGGCGGTGGTGGTGGAGGCAATGACGGCGACGCTGTGTTCATATACAGAGGAGACGTACTTGGTGGATGAGGTACATTCGTAGATAAGTCATCAGTTCTTACCGGCACATCGCTTGTTATCATGTCTGGAGAAACAGTTGCCGATGCAGGTGATATAATTTCCGTAATGACGATAACTAGCTCAGTGGATGAGGTTGCCGGTGCTCCCAATGACTCAGTAGTCATTCCAACTGAGGTGCCACGCACTGTTGCGTCCACGTCTTGTGTGGTTTTTAAATCGGTTGTACCAATAGTTGTTGCTCCTGCTTCTGTAGTAGTTTGGGTATTCACCACGTAATAAGAGAGTATCATGATCACAAATATGGGCGCCATTTCAGAATATGTACATTTAAGTTTCCTTAATGTCATTTTTAATACAGCCGACTCACAAAAACATGTGCAAGTAATGACTATAAATCCGAGGATAGAATCTATTTTTTACAATATACTGCGGTATACAAAGGCAAATAATGACTTATACTGCGGTATGCAAAGGCAAATAATGACTTACACTTAAAGAACTTTTGATGGGACCGAAGTCAAATCATAATTGCTTCCTTTCGTTTTCGCGAGTTTTTTTGTTTTAATAGGTGCCATGCAAGATGTGATTGAAGCGGGGCATGGGGTAAGAGAGGGGGGAACAACCCTCCAGTTTCTCCCAAACTAGAGAACGTACCCCGTCCAAGTGATCAAAACCCCTATCGTAACGGAAATTAAATGCCCTTCCTGATTCTTGTTAAGTCTTTATGATTTTTAATATTTCTCTCTCTTAAAAAAGAAAAATTAAGGTGCCCCTTTTAGCGGGTAAGCGGACACTTTTTTTTTTTTTTTTGGTAGTCCAAAAAAAAATCGCAACGACTCAGCCAGCCGAAAAGTCGCTCAGTGGGGGGGGGGGGGTTTAGGGATTTTTTAGGGGGGGGTTATACACATAAAAATACCAATGGGGGGTTTAACCCCCCAAACACCCCCCCCCCCCCCCCCTGCGTACGCGCCTGCCATGCACCGCACCAGCTAGAAACCAGCGAGATTTAGACGACGTTACCGATTTTGAGTTTTTTGGGCGACGGTCGCTGTTCAGAGTTTTCGACGGAAAAGCTCACAAGTCACAATTTTGAAGGCGCTAAAAATGGTTGAAAATTTAAATAAACACGAGATGAAAGGGAGTAGGGACATATACATCGAAACAAAATTTCATCAATTTGGAATCCGTTGACATAATGTATTTACAAGTTGTACAGGTAGTCGAAAACCAACTTCGTCAGCTGGGAAGCATAGAGTGTTGTCTTAACACAACATTGTACACCATTGATTATTATGAGGTGAAAAGATATGAATGGAATGATGTCGCTGAAACACATGTAGTAAAGCATTCAAAACTGGGAAATATCAGCCCAAAGAGGGAGAAGAAACAAAATTAATGCATTAAAAACTGAGAAATATCACCCCAAAGTGGGAGGGGGGAAATAAGATTTCTGACCGACCGACCCATGTTTTGTCACCTAAAGGGCAATAAAACATCTTTTTTTCAAAGGCCTTATGGATATATCAGGCACGAGAAGAGCGGACAATTTCTCATCTCAGAAGAGGCTATTTCTTCGTTGCAGGGATCGAGGGACATAACACAGTGCGTCCCAGAAAAAACGGAACCGAGAATTATCGATGTTTTATTATAACTTAGTCACATTTATGAGTAATACTGGCTGCCTGCCGTAGCGAAAAGCAGAATTGACAAAAGACTTAACTCCGTTTCGTTGACAATCGTCCATGCATGAAGTCTTTCGTCTACGGCTGATTGTCAACGAAACGGAGTTAAGTCTTATGTTAATTCTGTGTGTTGCTACGGCAGGCAGCCAGTGAAAACGAATTCGTTTACTCAAATTATGGAAATGCAAGCACTACTTTAAATAAACAGAACTTTGTTAATCCTTGCTCATTTTTCCTGATTGAGGTGTCATATAAAAGGGCAGAAACTCAACTTTCTAGAAATGTGATTTTCTCTTTGAAATTCAGATACCGTCCGCCAAATGACTTTTTGGTTTCCTCTCTTCAAATTGATTTCAATCACTCATGCGTGAAATATGCATCATATGATTTGCATCAAATGAAAGAGAGGATCTAAGCTTTTCAAATATGTGTCATTTATCAATCATAATTGTGACTAAGTTATGATAAAACATCGATAATTCGCGGTTTCGTTTTTTCTGGGACGCACTGTATAGTACACACCGTCCATGTGTGGTTATTTCCAGAAATAAGTACCGCCTGGTCGCATGCTACCTCGTTTTAATACATTAGCATACACTGTTGAAAATGAAGTTGGATTCATTTTTCTTTACCTCTTTTCATGAATATATGTGACAATATGATTTTTTGTTTCAGTATACAAATAGTTAACATGTTCTCAGAACTTTATTGATCGATCTAAAAGAGTCATAGAGATTGCTAAATAAAGTTCTAAGAAGATATAAAATTTATCTATCAAGAATAGACCAAACTCTTACATTCTCTTCATTATAAGAGGTAAACAAAAAATTACTCCAACTTTTTTTCGGCAACAGTGTACCTAGGACTAGGCCTACACCTTCATAACAAACATCACAAGTTGTAAATAATGAGCAAGGGCTACAACACTCTGTTTAGACTCTGAAGCCGAATAATAATAAATATGATTGCAGAACCCTCAGCAAAAACAGTATTAGTACTGATGACAGTATCCTGTGTAAACAGGATTTAATATAATTATTAGTAGTATTATAAGAGCTGTAAAATGCAAAGTGCACAATTTACTATAGAAGATCTGTAAATTAACCGTGTGTATTACATAGCATTGTTTCCACTGCGTGTTAAAAGAAGCTAGACGTTCAGAAAGGGTCAATACCTGAAATGCATGCTTTTCGGGAGTGACGGGGAACCCTCTCCCTGAACATTTTTCAAGAGATCGTCTCTCCCCCCCCCCCCCCCCTCCGAAATGTAGAAAAGTGTCAAACATTGTCGAACTGAGAATTTAGCGATGCCTAACCCATTAAGAAAGCAGATAAAATGTACGGATATGAAGTCAGACATCGACTTGCAAGTGTAATCCATTAAACAATGTTAAAAGCGTGTAAAAATAAAAAAGCGCCACATTACAAACTGCAAAAAAAAAAATCTCAGTGAGTAGCTCAGTGAACGCAGATTAATAGGATACACTAATTAAGAAGGTTGCTATAATGAATAGGTTTTTCATGCTGAAAAATACAAAATCCTATAATTACAGGGTTGGGTCTGTAACTCACAGACCCTTTTTCCGTTTACTCGCAAAACTTTTTCTCGATTGCAGCATTTCTGTCCCTTTGGTTATGAAGGAGACGCGCTGGCTCGGTGGTAGAGCAGTGGTCTCGTAACCGGGAAGGCCCGGGTTCGAAACCAATTTGATGCACTAGTGCCCTTTGGTAAGACATTAATCCTCATTAACAAGTCCCTTGGAGAGTACTTCAAGCCGTCGGTCCCCTGGTTGCTTACTTACGAGCATACAAATGATTTCCTAGCAGTCAGGTAAAACAATCAAACAAACAAAGCAACGATTTTCCCGGTTCTGAATATTTGTGCTCGTTTGTAGAAAAAATGGGAAGTTTTTAACCAACCATCAATGTGTAAGAATGCGATATTTCATTCACAATAACTTAAAAATGCCCAAACGTTTTGTTATTTTCAGACACTGAACTAAATCGAGTAAGAAATAGACATAAATGAGGTGAGAAAGTAAAACAATATAGGCATACCTCTTCAAGTTCCTTCAGATCATCATCGATGTTCCGTCTTTCAGTCGTCATCCGAATCACCGATGTGGATTCAATCTTGGTGGTTGTTGAAGGAGTCGTTAACATGGGCGTTGTTTCTTTTGCTGGCGTGGAAGCTGATGCAGTGGTGATCACTGTCGAAAACAATTGGGTTGTCGTTGGATCGGTAGTGGTGGTCGTTGGAAACAACGTTGTTCCTTTCGCTGGCGTGGATTTTGATGAAGTAGTGTCCTCCGTTGACATCGCTTCACTCGTTTCAAGGGTTGGATGATCCGTTGCGAATAGAGTGGTCAATGAAGTCATAATGGCATCAGTTACCATAGTTATCCTGGTAATGATAGGGTTTTGATGTGTAGTCTCATCAAGAGTCGTCATAGATGCGTCCGTCGATACAGGATCTACCAATGTAGTCAACTCAGTAGCATAGTCAGTTTCGTTTGGTAGGCTAGATGTGATGACTTCTGTGGCATTAACTGTCACTATCTCCGTGACGATATCAGTGACATTTGTCGTTGCGATACGAGTTACATTCTCTGTAGCATCGATAGTGCTGAATTCTGTCGTTTCTTCGGTGACCAATTCAGTGACATTAATTGTATGAATTTCAGTGATAAAATCTGTGACAAAATCGGTGACGTTTATCGTTCCACCATCAGTCGCAACTTCTGTAGCGTTGATGTCAATTTTTGTTACAATTTCAGTCTCGATTTCTGTTACAACTTCTGTCATAATTTCAGTTGCATATACAGTTCCGATGTCAGTAATAAATTGCGTAGCATCGATCGTGCCAATATTTGTCGCGATATTTGTGGTAGTGTCAGTATTATTTACGTCATCTGTAACTGTCTCGAAATATGTAACGATCTCTGTTACATTTACAAACTCGGTTATAAAATCTGTACTGTTTATAATCCCAATACCTGTGGTAGCGTCTGTGACGGCATCCATGGTTGTGGTAACATCACTACTGTTCAATGTGACGTTGGTCACAAAGTCAGTTGTAGAAGTCTGATCTGTTGTAGATGCAGCTGTTAGGTTGCTATCGGTGAAGTTGCCAGTGTCTCTAGTTGTTTCTTCCGTTGTCTCCATATCTTGAGAGACCAATGGACTTGTTCCTATTCTTGACAAGGTCTGAGAATTTGAAAGTTCGTTTGCAGAAACAATATCGGTTGTTGTGTCCGTTTGGCTGCCATATATTGTTGTGACAACAAGATCTTGTGTGGTTTCGGAATCAGTGGTGTCCATTGTTGCTGCGCCTGCACTGGTTACCGCATTCGTCACTTCACATGAGAGAATTAAAATCGCTATCATGATCGTCATTTCAGAAAATAACAAATTTCTTATTCTTGACGCCATTTTCGATGCACAAACCGACTCATGTGTGTTTACATGCAATGAACAATTTGCGGTAGACTGGAGTCATCCGAAACAAGATCTGTTTCATGTTATATTGATAGTACCATAAATCAGCGCAATACATGCAAATAATGTCTTATACTTCCGTGATCATGAAATCCCGCATGCTCTCTCTGTTCCCCCCCTCTCTCTCTCTCTCTCTCTCTCTCTCTCTCTCTCTGTATGTATTTTCTATTTTCAGTTCCTTTTCAGAATGTACTTTATACCCTCCTTCAATTTCTCGGTATACCTCTCCACCTCCACCCAATCCCTTATCCACTCTCTCTCTCTCTCTCTCTCTCTTTCTCTCTCTCTCTATCTCTCAACACTCAAACACTCAATATTAATTGTTTGCTCTGAGTATGAATCAACATTCTAGATGATAATCAAATAAGGGAGGAGCTCCTCGATTAAAATGACCTCTCTTGATATAGCACCGGTGATATAGCACCGGTGCATGCGGTATAGGGCAAGTGTAACAGACAGTATTGGAAGGGGGTTTCAAATTCAAAATAATTTCGTGGGCCGGCCTAGGGTTTATAGAGAGGGTAATGTAAATGGATTATTTTCGAAGTTTGTGTATATACTAAAATTCAATTCCCGCTGTTTTCTATGTCCTTATAATCAATAATATGTACAACTTATATAGGCCCTAGCGCAATTCCTGTCTGAAGACATAATATTCACACTTTACTTTAATTACATAAAATGCCCTAGCTTTAAATCCGGCGGCCGTTATCATCCTACCGGTACCCATTACTTCATCTGGGTCGAGTGTGGCAAATGTAGATTAATGTCTTGCCAAAGAACATTAGTGCCGCTGCGGCGGGACTCGAACCGCGGACATTGTGATCGACAGTCCAGTGACATATCCACTCCACCACGACACATCAACCTCGAAACACAAAGTAATGCTTAAAATAATGTAGGAGCACTTCGTTGGGGGTAGTGATGTGATTGGTCGGAGAAATCTTAAATCATTGTGTAAATTATTGTTTGATTTATGTTCGTGTATATTTGTAGACGACCGTTGGATTCGCCTTTGCCCTGGTATAATTGTGTCATGTACATGTAATTGTATTTGTGCATGACTGATGAGATCACTTTAACAGGATTATCTAATTGGAAATCATTGGATAAATACAAGTCCACACAACGCCATTGATAAAATCACAGGACAAAAATGTATACCAGCGAATTATTGGTTTCATTTGCACTCTATCATTGACATATTTCAGAGTAGTTATCTATTCGCAAATAGCATTTGTTTGACTTAAGATGTTGACCGAAATATTATCAGAGTCGCGATGATAAATTGAAAAGAATGATAATCACACCACATATGTGGTGAGATAGGAGTGGAGGAGATTGCCGCCGTGGAGGAATGGGGATTTTTATCTTATTTTATGAGGGGGTGGGGGTGTCTATTAGGTTACTCTCCTCTCACATACGTTGGGAAAATAAGACATAAACTTAACTCCCGAGCTCCTGGAGACAGACTTCAAGAGAAGCTCAAAATTTGACGATACAAAGCAAATTTTCTCGACACTATTTTGTGAAAAATTCAGGCACCAAAGAGAATATCTTGAATTTGTAATCAGTCTTCTAACTTTTTACCATCTAAGACACACCGTCAATTTCCAAGTCTATACTTTAAAAGTTGGTTTTAACGCAGAGGGCGATATATACTTCTGGCCACTAACACCATACGGGTTTGTGTCAATTTTCAGAATTTCCGGAATTTTCGGGTTTTATTCTTTCTTTTTTTTAAGGGGGGGGGGGGGTCATTTGAATTTCCGATGCGTGGTCGACTAAGTAAACCTCTGTATTTAGACCACCACGGTGCACCGTACCAAAGTGGGAGGGGGGGAGGTTCTTTCTATCATTCTGGCTCTGATGAACGTTGTTGATTACTTTGTTTTATTCTTCATATTACACAAATCACGAGTAGATATATCACGACGAATAGATTATCTTCAAAATTTTACGAATAGTTATCAAAATCATTGCTGTCATTGTATTATTTTATTCGGTGGTATAATAATATTTCACGCATCACATAGATTTTTTATTCTTTGGTCGCCAAACTCATCTCATTTTATATCGGAGAAAACAAATCAGGCGCAATAAAAAAAAAAAGCGCCATCTATTGAAATGTACAGACATAACTATATTAACAACACGCCTTCTTATCAATTTATAATCATAATATACAATTTATTTTACAATTTCCACACAACTGCGCCAGGAGTGTCATTTTCGACAAAATGTTCACTGTTATTATAATCATATTGATTTAAAGAAAATTGCCTGAGAAGTATAAGGTTCGGATCATTTTTGCGAACGTGATATTGCATGATACTCTCACAAACATAGAAAAATAGATGAGCAAAATAAAACATTATTTCCGTTATTGACATTGATACTGTCAATAGAAGAGGAACACAAAGCACGTGACTTCTGACATAGGCCTTCTGCTAACATTATTTTAATATGTTACTTTGAATTATAAATTGATAGACCAAAGATCGCTGTTAAAACAGTCATGTTTTAATTTGTCTTTATTTGAATAATTTGATGATTTGCATTGATCCTCTAAGGAGACTTAACAGAAGTATCTGTACTTTGACATACAATAGAGATGTAAGTAAACAAGTCTTTTTACACGTTCTCGTTGAGTAAAATAATGAGAATTATCAAGGCCATGTATCCATCTGTGGATATTTAATTGGATTTCATTTATTCATTTCTCTTCATGGTCTTTTCCAAAGTTAAAAACTAATTACAACTTAATAATGATAATAAACAATTCATATAACGAATACAATCATCAACGTAAAATACTTACATTGTAATACTAACATAAAATAATCACGAAGAAGGATAGCCACAAAAGCTATCCTAGAAGGTGTGGCAAATTCTTTATACAGCTTGATAATTTCATATACAAAAATGGTGTTGGGGGATCGGATTGAAAAAGATGTATGAGAAGATGACAGGAGGAGATGGTAAATGGAGTAAAAATGTGATAGCTGTGCTGAAGAGATAAAGAGAATTAGGCAGAAGGAAGAATGAGGCGTGAAAGATTCGGGAGAGATCCTATCTTCCTCTTTTCTCTTCTTTTTCTCCCAATGTCTTCCTTCTTCTTCCCCCTCCCCATTTAAGCCATTTAATTATAGGGGCACAAGCTGTACTACCCAGTAGGACATCACTGCAGATAGGAATGAATCGGGTGCCCCTGATCCCCCTTGAAACATTCACTATGTTGAAGACTGTGATTGTAGACTTATGCATTTACCTTGTTAGGCTCCTTGAGCATCTCTTGGGGTGGATATGTGCACATTATAAATGTTGTTATTATTATTATATTATTATTGTTATTATAGTTTTCAAGGCTCTTTTTGACAATCCCTGATATGCCATTTATCCCCTTATCATCCGTCATATCACTTCACTTTATTATTGAGCAGTTTAACAGGAATATTCGGGGGGGGGGGTCTCCGTATGTACCAGTCGGAGGTGGCTTTATCGAAACATGCAGGAAGATCCTTGACGTTAAAGTTTTGCATTGTGATAGTAAGATTCGTGAACTACCATTGAAGACTTGATGTCACTCAATTTGGAGCAACCTGAACAAACGATAAAACAAAAATAAGATGAGCGTAATATTATGTGTAAACTGATATTTTAGCTGGATATTTACGTCAACTTAATAACATAATGTAGGTGTAGGCTATCAAGCTGTATTTTTAATATCTAGCCTTCGTCGTACTAACAACAAATTAAGTGATTTATAACACGTATAACTCAGCGACAAGTAGCTCTTGCAATGTCACCGCCAATTTCCAATTCGTAAAATATTCCACCACACGATATAATTATTATGCCTACCTGATAATGCCATGGCAAGGCTCAACTCCTGTCTTAGGATTTCTAAGACCTGCGCAGCACCTTCCTCGCCCTACGAATAAAAACAAAAAAAGATTAAAAAACATAAAAACACCGTGCAAGCGTCAAAAGTCAATTACGAATCGAAAATGTGATTATCGTAGCGAATTGTCTAGCAAGCAACAACGTTTGAAGACCATGCAGTTAGTTCAAGGCTGCGTTTTATCGTCGGGCTCTTGTCATGAACAATCTAATTTAAACATACGTAACTTTTTTTGCTTTCGAGCACGCCGATATAATACAAAGCTGTACACTAATACTAAAAACGATTTGAGGTGGTACATGTACATGTATGTTGCTGTTCATACCATGTCCGCTGTCCTAGTGTGAATAAGATAATTATGCACAGGCTGAGGCAAACACGATTCAAGCAACATGTTTTACTAAAACTGACCGAATGGGGAATACAGCCTATTTCAGAGTCAGAACGTCCATGAGGGCAAGAGTTGACATGATTGAATCTGTACACATAAAAATGCACTCTTGACATAATTGACTGATTGTTGACAAATTTTGCCATTGTACTTACTTTGCCTTTGACTCTGACTTTGACTTACACACCTACAACACTGACTTACATTACAAGCAAGCCCCCACAGGGCAGGCCGACCAATGAAGACAGCTCTGGCACCCATGGCTAATGCCTTGAAGACATCGGTTCCTCTCCTTACTCCTCCATCCATGTACACCTCTACAGGATACCCACGCACAGCCTCTACTACCTCAGATAGAGCATCGATCTGCGAAAAAAGGGACCATAATCGTTGACTAACTTGTAGGAGATATTCTCTCATTTTGAAAGTATTCAGAACATTGACATGTACAAAGATTCTTGCAGACGGACAGTCCATGAACAACACCCTACTAGGAGATCGACAGTTTACGAAACCAACAAAACAAAGAAATGATGTCGGTCTCGAGGGTTGTCTGCCAAGGGCGAAATCGGTCTATTGCGTCGTCGACCTGGTGAAGCCAATTATCAACGTGCATTAATATCATAATGGGCTGTCGATCTAGTGAACACTCGGTAGAACTGTCAGAATGCCAACGAGACTGATATTGGCTCGTGTTTTATCGGTCTTGTGGGCCGTCGATCTCATGTTCTGTACCCGTAAGCACATCGTCAATAAAAAAACATGATTCTTCTTGTTGACTTCATGACGACATTCAAGTTATATCGAGTTATATTTGTAGATTTTGACAAATAATCTATTAACAAGAGAAAAGAAGGGTTTTTACCGGTGCTGGTAAGTAATCGAGTTGCCTCCCTCCGTGAGCTGAAACTAGAATTCCATCCACACCGCCTTCAGCCAACATTCTCGCTGACTCTCCTGTAAAAACAAATTAACCAAAACAAAGTTAAGAATTCTAGAAGATTTGAAACAACTGTCAAATGGAGGTCCATAATTGTCATCAAAATATAAGCATAAATTACGATTAGAGAAGTCGGTGCGATTAATCCGGTTTTTATCTCAACGAAGAATAAATTGCTTATTGGAATTAATTTAGATATAATCTTGAATGATGGCTTGTACATTCAAATTCAAATACGGATTTTGGAATTTTGGAATGGTAACAGTCTTAATTAAGACATGAGCGTACAATGGGAAAGTTAAAGGCCCACTGCACTACTGGTAGCTACTTGCTCCCTCTATATAACAAACAATGCCTAATCGGTGACCATTGATCCCCCATGATCCTCTTTTTCTTATGTTAACTGAGAGCTGAGTTGATGAGATAACCACCTGTCCAGTGACCTTGCAGAGCGGTCTAATCCCTCCTGTAAACTACGGCAGATAAGCTTTAAGATAGCTGAGTAATAATGGGCACATTGTTAGCAGCGAATTTGTCGCATGTTAACAGCTCAGTTCATGAATCTATATTTCTCTATTCACAAAGTGTCCCGAAGTTTTCGGTTCTGACCTGTTAATACTCCTTTAGCGATGATAGGAAGTTTGGTGAGAGTCTTTATCCACTTAACATCTTCAATGGTTGGCGAGTCAGAGACCTGACTAACAAAATATTTGATGAGGAGTGGTTCTTTCTTCTTAGCTTCTACAACCTCGGGGATATGAGGAATATCAAAATTGGATGCCCTGGTAAAATAAGAGAGCAAGAGAAAGTGGGATTTCGTATCAAATCAGACTTATTATTTTGAACATATTTGCAGCAGTCCCGCCAAGAGTCAAGGGTGAGGGGGTAGGGCGTCGAGTCATCTTCGGGCAGGAGTGAGGGAGGGGTAGGCAAACTAACAATTCACTGCTCGATCAAAGTAATAAGGGAAGATCAGGAGAAGAAAAAAATCTCATAGAAAGGCTTGGTTTATAGACCTACATTGACCTACGTACAACGCAATTCTTGCATAAATTTAGGAATAAACACAACTCTGAGAATCAGATGCAACGCCGTTCTTACAGGATGAAAGCTATGTTCGCATTTAACATAGCTGCATCCATTCGTGTCGGAGACAAAGTGTCCAATTCTACGCTACGCTCTCACATGTTAGTATTCTCATCACATTCTCTTTGACCCTTGTACACGGCCCCTTCCCCAATCGCAACATCTCCAAGATAATGCTGCTTTGCCAGTGCCATTGTTTACAAAATGGATCATGGGATCTTGTGTTGCGTCAATCCTAGTTGGCTTTTGACTGACATTCTCTCACATGAATTTTAAACTTTATAATGACATATAACGATTTATAATCATAATTTTCGATCAACTGAATTCTGTAAAATACTGTATTATGTTATTATTATTCAACACTTCATGCAAAACACGGACAATATCGCTCTTCATAATTCCGTGCAAAACATTGCCATCACATTTTTTCACTTTGGTAAAGTATAATGCTCGAATCATACGAATCCATTATTTTAGGTGCATGTAATTAGATCATGTGATGTTAGAATAAAGATTCGAATCATGCAGTAATGATTCTTACCTCACAAATCTGTCGTCTAAAACGTCATACATTCGTCTTCGAGCTGTCCTTACATGATTACCCAGCTTTGGTGAGTCCATCGTCATGATTAACCCTTTGAACCCACACCGTTCTGCTTCTCGGATTAAATGCTTGGTGACGTCACGATTCTTAAGAATGTAGATATTCATCCAGAAGAGTCCAGATGGAGCAGCGTCAGCGACATCGGCCATAGTCGTACTCGACATCGAGCTCAAACACATTAAAGTACCACATTTTTCAGCGGCTGCAAGTAAGCAAACATGTAACATGATTGTATATTATAAACAGTGGATAGACGTTTTTTTTATTTCATCCACGATTGATGTTTTAATGAATGAAAAAGTTTGGACAATTTAATGCAAAAGGTGTAGGCCTAGATAAAGCAGGTCAACAAGTTAACAAAATAATCATAAAGAAACAATGAAATTTGCCGACATGTACTTAGGCTGTCATAATTTATATGCTTACAAAATCTCCATCTCTTTGACGAGTCCTACTCGCCCCTCCCCGGTTATTACGCTAATTGACTATCTTCTATACCTCTAGCTGTTTCTTTCTCTCCTTCTGGTATGGCTAGTTTATGGAATGCCGACGGTGATAGACAGACAGGAAAGCTGATTGGTTGACCCTGGATGGTAGTAGAAAGGTCCCGGATGGACACATCACGTAGGATTCTGGGACGCAGACGATATCTGAATTCAGGTGAAGAAAAAAAGGTGAAGAAAAAAAAAGAAGAAATGAAAGCGATGGAAGCAGCGATTATTTTGAGCACATTCTACATATTTTGATAAGAGCCCTTTATGGTAACAGTAATGAGCTTTTCGTCTTGGGAAGAAGAAACCATTAGAAACAAAATCATATTTGCCATGCATTCTGTTTGTAATGTACATGTAACATAATCGCAACTCAGCTAGGGGGCAATTTCAAAACCCTTTTGTAAGTCCATCACACTATTCATGAAATGATTCATTATCTAAATGAAATATTGTCTAATTAAATTTGCCGAAGAACTTTACTTGATTTGAAATCTTTAAACAATTTTTGTAATCTACGCGTATACGCTTGTAAAAATTAAATTTAAATTGGTTTTGATGTAAATGTAGAATAAATAAACTTCAACAAAGTTGATACATTTTTATACTCACAACCTCAAGAACACCCCATAAATTAATAATAATAAAAACGGTGCTTATAAAGCGTTTTACACCGAAGTCTCTAAGCGCCAAGCAAGCAAAATGCAATGACAAACAATTACATATATTAAACAAAACAAAAACATTACAAAATCATAAACCAACAAAATGACAATACATATGAAATATACATCAATGTGAATGGAGTAAATTAATCATCAAAAGCAATTTTGAATGAATGTTAGGACAAACTTTTGAATTGGTTGACAGTCTGACAGTTTTCTACATGTAAAGGTAGATTGTTCCAAAATTCAGCAACACCTAGCCTTCGGTCTAAACATATCTTTTCCTGATGATAATGTTCATAACATTTGACCAACCTTTTGAATGCCAGCCGACTATCTCGTAGCGTTACCTCTTCATCAGCACCTGTTGCGTAATAATCAACAAACCAGGAGGGGATTTTGGTCTGGCCCTCCTTCTCAAAGTCATCTAAGCAAATATACTTCTCCGATGCCATCTTGATATTATCACGATTTCAAACAAGTCTGGTTTTCATAACGTTGTGCACTGAAAAGATGATTAAATGAAATAATATAGAGTTCTTGTGCTACAGTAATCATAGACACACAGCACATAATGTGTCGTCACAATGTCGGCTATCAGAGGGTAGATGCGTAGCTTATTAATATTAGTTACACTCTCATGTTGATTACTGTTTTCCTTTGTTTAAAAAAGAAATTGGAACAATCCTATTTGTCTGGATTGTAACCAATAGATTTTTAATATGAATTCTGAATTTGATTTTAGACTCATAGACGAGGGCGGGGTACATGCAGATGATCCGAGGGGTAGGCTGGCTGGCTATAGGCTGGCATATTCGCGCTATAATTCCCACCCATCCCTTTTCTTCTTCTTCCTGTTGTTTTTCTTCTTTTTTTCTCTTTCTTCTTCTTCTTCTTCTTCTTCTTCTTCTTCTTCTTCTTCTTCTTCTTCTTCTTTTCTTCCTCTTCCTCTTCTCTCTCTCTCTCTCTCTCTCTCGTCGTAGAGATGTACATGTAGCGAATGAATACAGAGGGCTGTTGGGTTGAGCCCTGACGCGGCACTCATATTCCTTCCCACTCAATTCCAAAAAAAAAAGTGATGGACCTGGGGGATAACGAATGTATTTATGATATGCCGATTCTCCCCAGTGCGTGGAGATGGTGCACACAATTTGCGAGTTCAATCATAATTGAAATAGAATATGTAAAGACATTTTTTTTTCGTATCAAGGAATATTTGTGCCAGGCTCGAGGCTATCATACGAATTTAAACAATATTTCTCCGTCTGTTAGCGACAGTAAGCGCCACATATGGCACAGTCATGTTCTTTTCCCTCCGTTGTTATAGTACTTTATCCGCAAGATGGCGCTAAAGTAGTCTTGTCTCCCCAATCCATACACCATGTATGTACACTACATACTGTTTACTTCCAGGCCAGCACCATAGCCTTATGGCCACGAGCATCGGGTTATCTGGTGAGCCTTATACCACGAAACGCATTGCGATATTCATGGACCTAGTAGGTCCATGCGATATTACATCTCCCATGTTTACAAAATGTGACATAGAACAAAGAATAGCAAATACGCACGCGTTCACGAGGGCCTACCCATACAATACGCCTCCCACAAATGCACTCTGTTCCGACAACATCGAATAACGTACTGCATATACTTACCATGGAACTCCTTCAAGCAACTTAGGAAAGTTCTCTCGATATCAATGAAAGCTGCATTGAGTGTAAAATTGGCGTACAGATTATTGGATTGAAGCACAAACAGACATTCCCAAGCACCAGTCGTAGTCATACAGTGATGTATATATACTTGAAGTACTAACCTGACCTGGTGAACTAGAACTCGTAGTCTGTACAGCTATGGAATAAAAGGAAGCCTGAATACATGTCTATTCTTCACATGGAGTGATACAGTTTGACGTAATATACTTCTGTGGACTGTGGTGTCAGGTGTATTGACAATTGACAACGAACATGTACTTCTATCAGACATTACCCATGCACCTCCTGTACAAAGTTCAGTCACAATGATTAAAGATTACAGTTATTGCCAGTGTGCTTCGTTTACTCTGGACTAATTTGAGACAAGAAAAAAAAGGGTATTCTTGTTCAATATTCCTTGATATCCATGGCTAGCTATAATACAAGTTTTTCATATTCACGAATCGGGTTTCATTATCGTTTCCTCTGCCCCTCCCCCTCTTTGACTCTCTCTGGCTCTCTCTCTCTCTCTCTCTCTCTCTCTCTCTCTCTCTCTGTCTGCCTGTCTCTCTATTCTCTCTGACTTTCTCTCTCTCTCTCACTTTCTCTCTGACTCTCTTTGTCTTTGTACTTATTTCTTTCCTCCCACTTTATTTTCTCTCCTGCATGTCTTAATTACATTCGTTACTATCGATGACCCTAAACCTTGCCAGGAATCGTCCTGGCATAGCAACAAGACAATGTGTATAGCCTGCATTGTGACTATTGAATTAAGATTCTTGTGTATATAGTAACAGGTGAATGGAATACTAGTGTAGTTTGTCACGAGGGTCTTAGGGTAGAAGTGTAGTAAAAAATGTGTTCGTGAAATGTTAATTAAAAGTTTTTGTCTGTCTTAATGGGTTAGCAGCAACAGCGTATCAACGGTCAAAAAACACCACACCCCCCCCCCCCCCATACGATAAAAGAGGGAATATTAAACAATTTATTGATGCACTAAAATTGTCCCTGTACCCTGTACTATAATTTGTTTAAACCTAGTAGTATCTGACGTGCTCAGGTTTCCTTTCCGCTCAGGTTCGAGAAGTGTGGAATGTTATCATAGTTATCCAATATATGAATCATCGAAGATAATTAGGGAAGAAACGGTGCACTTCTCTACTTGCATGTAGATGGAAAAGGAAAGAGAATACAGAGAGAGAGAGAGAGAGAGAGAGAGAGAGTGAGAAAGAGAGAGAGAGAGAGAGAGAGTGAGAAAGAGAGAGAGAGTGAGAAAGAGAGAGAGAGAGAGATAGAGAGAGAGAAAACAAGAAACAAAGCAAACGAGTTAGTAAAGGATGAGAGAAAGAAATTTTTAAAAACGATTTAAATTTGATGTAAGCCAGAGGCATTGGGCCTACGTATTTGTTTTACTTCGTTATAGTGTGAATTATCCGTTGGGTCATTTATATCAGTGCTATGTAGTGCTGGTCATCCTGTATTGATACTTTATTCATCTAATTTTGTCTTGGATATATAAGGAGCCAAATAATCCACTGATATAGTCAAAGTCCATCGTTTATGTGGTCCATTCAAGTTAATGGACATTAAAAGGAGTTAAGCTCAAAGTAAAATGCATTAAACAAATATAGGAAAAATATTTGATTTATGAAGTAAAATTATTAGCTCAATTCCATAGCTTTCTGAGGAAATGCTTCCTTTATCTGTATAGAACACAAACACTTATATATACCAACTAATGAAGTTTATTAAATATGATATGAAGCTCAGGGTAAGAGTCGTGTCTTTTTTAACTTAAATCCAGTTTCAAGTTGTAAGTTATATACCTTGTGAACCTATTTGCTAGATAAGTATCTATACTTTTGTTATCCCTCCCCTTCATTTGATTGTACATGTATCATTTATACACTTTTATTTCATGTTTTGTGGAAATCAATTGAATTCTAATTCAATTCAGTTGAGGCACCCCTTCCCCCAATACTGTAAGTATTATGGAAGCATGATAATAATACATGAGATAAACAACATGTAGTTATCGTTATCTGAGGAGGAAATTGAGGGATATAAGGATGTAAATGACATAAAATGGGGAATTTAGTTGATAAATACTTGTGTTGATGCACTTCATGAATGTGTAACTCGGTTAAAAGGTTGCGTGGTCACGCTGTATTTAACACATAAGGAAGAAGACAAAATGGCGGTAGATATGGCAAGGGCCCCCGGACCTAAACGAGTCTGTTTCCCCCTCAGAGAGTGAGCTCGTCCGGCTGTAAATGGCAATAAAGATGTCATTCTCGACACTTAATAACTAGATGGCATGTAACTTACTATCATTAATTGTAAGAAACATTATTAACGAGACTAGGAAATCTCATACAATATGCTTGTTTCCCTGTTGACTTTTCAGAACGAAGGGGAAACACGAAACAGACTGTAAGGAATTCACGGGATATAAATCGCTCGTAAATGTCTGGTATTGTTAGTTCTGTCAGACTAACGAAAGCGTTGATGTCAATTCTTTGATAGATTTCGTGATGGAATTATGACGTAAATGACCTGAACTTTATATCTAATAAGGAAATGTATTCAAACAATTATTCTTTGTGCAAAATAATTTTACTTATTTATGCAAAAAGTAAGGAAACCAATAAATTGTTTCGCAAATCTATAAAACCTTCAAAACATAGACAAAGAATACTTCAGTAAAACAAAAAGGAAATAGACAATAAAAATTATTTTGGCACAAAGAAAGTTGGATAACAAAAGAAACAAATTTGATTGCCTGCCTCCAGGAAAAGGCATTCAGAATCGCAATTATCGCTCGTAATAATTTCAATCATATGTTGACCTTCCAAGCATATTCGACATAAAATATATTTAAGCAGATGTGACAGCTTTAACAAAAAAAGGAAGAGTTTTCATTTTGTACGTCCCTATTGACCATTTTGTTTATTAGAAGGATACACTTAAGATAATTAGAAACAGAAAAGAGACAAGTGCGAAAGACGAAATATAGTAATATAGTTAGATTACAGAATTTTGTTTGTTAAAGCTGTCTCCTCTATAGTTTAGACGATTAAAGGGAAAATGCTTTCTGAAAGATTATTATTTATAAACAAATCTTTTAGGAAGATCACCTTTAAAGAAAATCAAAAAGAATATTCACATCTTCTCATAAAATCATCTATTTTCTTATAAATTATGACGACATTTATTTCGCCTAATGAAATAATAAACATGCTTATGCGAATGAAAATACTCTAAGGTACTACTAAGCTGAACGTGGAATTGTGTAATTGGAGCATGTAAGCCAAATAGGTAATAAAGAAGAAAAACAAATAAAAAGTAATTTGCACGATTGTCTTATTAAAAACATTAAACAAACGTATCACGTTTTAACAAGTAACGTGGCCTGTTTAAAGAAAATTAAAACAAATCGGCTAAATAATACCCTTTTTCGTCACAATTCAGTGCATTTAATAGCTTGTATAAATTATTAGTGCATATCCCAAACCTACGTCTGGACTGGATATACTTGGATCCGCTGTGCCAACTCATTAATTAGAGCTTGGTCAACCACGGGTTTCTTTCCTACATTAAAGAACCTGTCAAGGGTTCAAGTAAAATGAACACGTGTGCTATGGTTTCACACGACAGGAAAAGAATACGGGAAATAAGGATGAAAGAATATTAAGCAATATATTTAGAACAGCTAAAGAAAAGAAAATTAGAAGTGTCGGAAGAAAGAGAATTAAGATATATATTTAGAACAATAAATTTTAGGTTCTTTCTTTTTCATTCCAGTAATCTTATAGTCAGCTATCTATAGGTGACCAAATCAAAAGTCAAATTAATTTAGTTCAATTATTTCAATGTCAGGTTTTACTAGGATTAAGAGACATGAAGTTAAAAACAGTCTACATACAATATTATGACAGTCACTTTTGCTAACATCGTACATGTCTTTCAATTACCATGAAAACGTGTCTCATTAGATATTACATCTTATCTTTTAGCATTAAAAATAAGAACGGTGTAATTATTTGTAATTCATTTTGTACGGTACCAGTTGATTAAGAATTAAAATCCCACAAGTGACGAAAATATTGACAGGAAAACCACAAAGTGGGTTTTTTTCCCTTCTCGTTTACAAAAACTTTCCGTTGAGATATCTATGACATCCATCTGCTCACAGCACCATTAATTGTCACAAAAAGGATTTTAGAATTTGCTCATGTAATTGTCGGAATAGAGGAAGCATTTTGGTTTTCCAGTAGAACGTTTGTGAAATTAATTGTGCATGGAATATGAAAATATGTTGAGAGAAATGCCTTCTGTTAAACTCAACGTTGCTTGATTATGGTGAATGTAAACTTACAATAATTCTTCAAAAGGCGATGCTATTTGTATAATTATTCAAACACGCCTAAATGTTCATCATAATTAGACACATTTAGTGAGTACAGCAGGTTGTTTTGTCAATGGAAAAAAGAGGGAGAAAGAGTACAATGCCCCGAAACCGTTCTAACAACGTTTCTTATTTGTTCTCACTTTCTTTTTCATTCTCTGTTTCTCTCTCTGTCTCTCTATCTGTCTCTCTGTCTCTGTCTCTCTGCCTCTCTCTCTCTGCCTCTTTCTCTGTCTCAACCCCTGCCTCCCCGTCTATTCGTCTCTCTCTCTCTCTCTCTCTTTCTCTCTCTCTCTCTCTAATTTACTATCCCTATACCTCGTTAAAGTCCTTTCTTATTTTCTTCATGGACTGCACTTTTCTCTTGACGCTCGATGTGTCTAATCACCCCTCCCCACATGCCCCTTGTCTCTCCTTTCATTTCCCCCACTTTCATTTTCTTTCTTTTTATCTCTGTCCCCTCTCCTCCCCCTCCCCCATTTTTTTTTTGTTTACCTGGCTTCATAGTGAGATTGCACTTTTCTGTTTTAATTGACAGTCATTGATTGTACAAGGTCCGTTCATTTTAAGTGTGATTTGCCTTCTCTTGCCTGTGTCTAAGAGTTTTACTGAAAATGACGCCCGGAAGTTTCAAAAAGTGCATTGCTACATCTGATGCTTGTAGCTGAGACAGACATGAAACGTTCCCTGTTTGGAAGCGCTCTCTTCCCCCATCACGAACGAGCATTCCTCGCCGAGTATCAGCCCGTAGGTCTCAGCTGTACGTGTGAGCCGCCACACCAAAGCGCGTGGAGGGTATTAGTTCTGTCTCAACGCACGAGAGTACAACTGGACCACAAAGCTCCAAACAAAATAAACTTAAAAGAAATTACAAGAGAATGAGGAAAATACAAAGAAATGACCTTAAAACAAAAATACTTGACAAAAGACACTTTGAGAAGGTTAGGAATATCTCCATTT